AAATTCCCTTGAATAATTATACTCCCCCCCCCAGGTAAACACAATTTATAGCAAGGAAGGAGTTGCTTCAGTTATTAGTGCAGTGAGGGGGGTCCCTGCATGTATCATAGAGGGAAGCGAACCACTCAGATAAGAATGAAAACCTGGTGCAGACTGACTTTGTCACCCTGGATCAGACTTCTGGGAGTCTAATGCCAGGCGGTTCATTGTCAGCATATTTAAAATATAGTACAATCTGGGGAAAGGTTTACATGCAACAATCAGTCCAATCCCAGGTTCACAATGAAGCTTAAGGTGTGACTACATGGAGACTCCTTTACAAAGTACCTTGTGACCATGAGAGTGTGTTCTGTAGCTAAAGGGCCTAGAATCTAGTGTGGTCTGATAGCATAGAGGTCAGCCTGCCACAAAGTACATGTGACATCTCTCCTAAGGAAGAGTAATGGTCTAGGAGGGAAGAGTCCAGGATAATGATTCTGGGTAATTAGGGTGATATCTATCCCTTTAGATAGCAAAAAGGTCACCAGGTCGTTTGCAACCTCCATTCTCAGTTTTCTGGATGGAATGTAGGTATTTGATTTGTATCTCCTCCTTTGAGGAGGCACACCTGTGTGATTAACATTCCTGGTTCTCTTAGTGCTTCTCTGTGAGCACAAGGACTTCTGTGCCTCCAACAACACAGGTCACCAGCCACTCTTAAAGCTCACTGCAGCTGGGCTGTGCAGAGAGGGGAGGACTTTCAGCATTTTAGGATCCCTGTAAGATAAAGCTAGCTTCGTACATTCCTTTTTAGTTTCAAGACTTTTATTATTACAGAATCTGGACTCACATTGTGATTACTGTTTGTCTTTGCTTAATTGGCAGGCTTTTTAACATGCCATGCTACGTTAAAATGGTCTTGAAATTGATGTGGTTGTTTATAGTGTCAGGGGCTGGTGTAGTTTAGGCATGGGATGCTCCTCAAAGGCCCGTTGGGATTAAGTCTTGGTCCTCAGTTCATACTGTTGGCAGGTGGCAGCAACTCCATGAGGAGCCAGAAAAAGAAGTGGGGTTGCTGAGGGCATACTCTGGAAAAGTTGGATGCTGGTTCTTCTCCTGCTTCCTAGCTTCCTTGAGGTGAGTGTCTTGTATCACTAAGCTCTTGGCCACTTCCATCATGTACCACTTCACCACAGTCCAAAGGCCATGAGGTCCCAGTGACCATGACCTAAAATATCTGGTAAAATACTGAGTCAAAATCTTTCCTCCTTGCAAGTTGATTTATTTTAGGATTCATGTCATAATAATGGAAAGCTAAGGTGCTCAGATCCTCAGACATTTGGGGAAACACTCTAGATGGGTCTAGGGTATTTTCAGGTAAGATTAGCCCTTGAATTGGTAGATCAAGTAAATAGAATGTTCCTCCATTCATGTTTATAGGACCTTACCTTGCTGCTTAATGACTAGAATAAAACAAAAAGGCTGAGTAAGAAGGGACTCCACTTGCCCAGCTAGAATGAATGGGGTGGGACATTGATCTTCATTGAAACCTACGCCATGGGCTCCAACTTGCTGACTGCAGATCTTAGGATGAGCTGATTCTTTATAGTTATTTACTTTGTGTGTCAATATGTGACCCTATTGCTTTTTCTTTTTTTTGTTTCTTTTTACATTTAAATTTAAAGGTTGCTTCACATGTCAATTCCAGGTCCCTGTCCCTTTCCCTCCCCTCCTCCCATGCCCTCCCACCAACCCCTCCAATATCCCCTCATTTCCCCAGGGAGGGTAAGGCCCTCCATGGGGGTGTCCATAGTCTGTCATTTCATCCAGGGCAGGGCCTAGACCCTCCCCTGAGAGTCCAGGGTGAGAGTGCATCTCTCATTGTGGGATGGGAGTCCAAGGTCCATTTGTATACCCGGGATAAATATTGATCTACTACCCAAGGCTTAATAGATTACCTAGGCCTCCTCACTGACACCCACATTCAGGGGGACTTGATCAGTCCCATGCAGGATTCCCATCCATCAGTCTGGGATTCAAGAGCTAACCCTTGTCAGGTCAGCTGTTTCTGGGGGTTAAACCAGCCCAGTCTTAACCCCTTTGCTCTTTCAATGGCTGATAGAAGCAGAGGCAAACTCCCACAGTTAAACACTGAACTGAACTCAAGGAATCTAGTGACAGAGAGGGAGGACTATTGCTACTTTTTAATCATCAGGTATGTTTCCAATGCTTTCAATACAAAAAAATGTGGTTTATTTATGGGGCAGGGAGCATCCACACAAGTCAGAGTGTCAGGAATTGAGCTGTAAGTAAAAAGACTGTTCTGTATGGGGATGGCTTTCTACCAGTAGGGAGTCAAGGCTTAGGACTTTTTGTGTCCACAGGGACAATATAGATTTTCTCCTTAGCTCTCTTGTGTACAGTGTGTGCGTTTCTTTATGTATAAATTGAACAGATTGATTTGGGTGATTTCAATGACTTCTTCCATTTTCAGATTCCGAGAAACTGGTTATTTCAATGAGGGTGAAGTGTCCTAAATAATGTGTAAATAATCAGATTCTTTGCAAACGTGTTGCAGTGCATCAGTGGTGTCTGATGCCAGGAGAGCAGCAGTGTACTCTGATGAGTTATGGGTTTACTAGGCTATGTTGATGGTGGCCATCAAGTTTATGTTTCTGTAGAACTTGAAGTTGAGATTACAAAGTATCCTCTTCCATATAAATATATTTATGAATTCATTCCAACAAGGTTGCTAGGATTGTGGGCTGTGGCCATAAGACCATAGGGCTCTTACAGTCAATAAAGGGTCTTTCTCTTTAGACAGAAGATTTCCATACAGAAAGTGTGACAAGAGGAGTAGCTGCAATGTCTTAAAAGAATATTTAGCTTTGGTGAGAAAAAACTCATATGTCAGGATATTTCAGTTCAGTGTTATTGAAGAGTTGATGTTGATAATTAATGTTCATCTAGTTTTATTGAAGTAAGTAAGAGACTGGCAGACTTGTGTCTTGCGGTTCCTAGAAGAGCAGGTCCTGGTGAGCAGGAAGGACATCTCACCTACCTTCCCAACTCCTTTTCTTAGATTTAGTGCAGGCCACTCAGCCTGGGGGCAACGAGGAGTAGAGTGGCTCCAGGAAGTACAGCATTCTCCCCAAATATCAAAATAAGTCACTGTAATTTGGACATCAGTTGGTGTTGGACCTACATTTTAAAAAGTTGTTTTTTATGCATGTTAATGTTTAGCCAGCATGTGAAAGTTCCTGTGCATTGCTTGGTGCCCACAGAGACCAGAAGGGCATTGGATCCTCTGGAATAGTTGTTAGCTACTATGTAAGTGCTGGAAACCAAACTATGGTCCTCTACAAGAACAAATGCTCCCTACTCTCCAGCCTCTTCCAACATAGTTTATGCAATACCCCAAAACCCATTGGATAGATATCTATGTCTGCTTAATCTACTTGGAGCTCTGCTCAAAGTCCCCACAACCTTCTTTCTGGATGTCTCAGCCACAGTAGAGTCAGATGAGAGAAAGATAAAGTAACACTTCAAAGAGGAAAAAACTATACCTAACTGAAAATGCCTGCGCTGTGTGTGCGTGTGTGCATATTTCAAAATATAAGTAACAATAATCAGTGAGGGCATTTTATGTGAAATATAAAGCTTGATTCATAGCAAATCAGTTTGGCTTGTTTGGAATTACAGGGCATGTAAGAAGACTAGCTAAGATGCCTGCTTCTACTGTATATATCTTGTCCCCATACCCAGATGTTGATGTGATTAGAGCTAAATCTTGAAGGTTTAAAGATTGTTGTGCTTTGGTTAGCCAATACTAAATGGTCAGAGAAATCTGTCCGAAGAGCTGTGCTTCTAGGCAGGCCCATCATTCTAAATACTGCATAGCCTTTTCTGAGATGTCATCGTAATCGTTGTTGCACAGTTTCTAAGTTCCTAATAATTCTTAGACTTGGGGGATGGATGTGTGGTAACAATGATGTTCAGGACAGTAATTGTTTGTCTTTTAAAAAATTAAGAATCACAGATTACTAGAACTGTGTTAAAAGGGGAGAATGAAATTAGCAATCTTGGGTATCCTATTACATATCACAACACATTTTTTTGAGACAAGGTCTCTCTGTGTAGCCCTGGCTGTCCTGGAACTCCCTCTCTAGTCCATGCTGGCCTCAAATTCACAGAGAACTGCTTTCCCCGCCTCCCAAATGCTGGGATTAAAGGTGTGCCACAACCGCCCATTATTTCTCTCCTCCTGATTCTTCCCAACTTCTGTATCTCATGTGATTGAAGTTTATTCCTGTAGGACTATGTAAATGGATTTTTCTGTCCTGCCTGGTCTCCGAAGCTGTTTTGTCCCAAATAAACACACAGAGGCTTATATTAACTATAAACTGTTCGGCTGATGGCTCAGGCTTTTTATTGGCTAGCTCTCTTTTAATTATTACCTCATTTCCTTTTTTTTTTTTTTTTTTTTTTTTTTTTTGGTTTTACGAGACAGGGTTTCTCTGTATTGCTTTGGAGGCTGTCGGTCCAGCCCGGCCTCAAACTCACAGAGATCCACCTGCCTCTGCCTCCCGAGTGCTGGGATTAAAGGCATGCGCGACCACCGCCCGGCTTATTAACCCATTTCTATTACTCTGTATATCTTCACGAGGTCAAGGCTTACCAGCAAATGCTTAGGCGTCCTATATTCCCAGGTGTTACATGGTGTCTCCTCGACTCTGCCTACTACCTTTCTTGGTCCCTGTTTGTATTTCTCACCTGACTAAATCCTGCATGTCCATTGGTTGAAATAACTTTACTCATCAACCAGTAAGAGAAACATATATTCACAGCATACAGATGGACATCCCCCATCAGGACTGTTTCTGATTTTACAAGAATAGGATCAAATGGACAAGTCTTTCTAACCCGCTTCCTTGTGCCCTACATTATTAGGTTTCATTTTTATGCCTAGGCTGACACCTTACACACCAACAGTAATTGTACTGGCTTTCCCCTGTTTTTAGGTTGGCAGCCTCGATGGTTCCTTCTTTGTGGGGGAATACTGTCCTATTATGATTCTCCTGAAGATGCTTGGAAGGGTTGTAAAGGGAGCATCCAGATGGCAGTCTGTGAGATTCAAGGTGAGTGCCAAGCAACTTGCAAATTTTATTTTTCTTTGTATCTCTCTAAGAGAATAAAAAAGCACTGGCCCCTACATGCCTTTCTCTGCTGTTCCTGCAGTACACACTGGGGTATGAGGTACAGTATTCTTGCAATAGAGTCTTGGGAAGAAATCTAAAACTGCAGCCAGCTTTTTCAGGCTGAGTTAAGGGTCAAAATAATTAACACTCAGACAATACCCATTGCTTACCTGGGGCCATAGATTGTTTGCAAGGCTTTGATGATTTTACTGTAACATCAAATGCTTTTGTGTTTATATCAGAATAGATATTCATACGCATCTGCCCACTCCTACCTCTCAATCAAAATAAGCAAATGCCTACGGGGCCAACAAATAGTCTTTACTTCTTAGCTTTAGAATCTTGAACAGTGAGATGTGTAGCTGAGAAAAAAAACTATTCAGTGGGAATTTGGGGATGGTGAAGGAGAAAGTGTTTTGCTAGTTTCTTCTCTGGAAGGGTTCTAAGACCTTTGGTCTGCCTGCTCAAGGGAAGTGTAAAGGGGGAAATGTGTTTTAATTATTTCCCAATAACTCCAAAAAGATAAAGATTGTACCCTTGCTTGTTAGCAGGCATATTAATCTGTTTTCTGTTGCCATAATAAAATACTCGAGTCTGGGTAATGTATAATGAAAATCATTTAATTTAGCTAATACTACTACAATATGAAAGTCTAAAATAGAAGAGTGCTAACTCTGGTTAGCGCACACTGAGTAGGTCATACTATGGTAGATGACATCATGATGATATATTGCACGTAAGGCAAGTATCACACAGAAAGCCAGAGAAACCTGGAAGGAGCCTTTGTTCCTGTATAATGAACCCTCTCAGATACTCATCAGAACCCTGTGAGAATTGTGTGATTACCTTCCAAGTGCTAGGATTAAAGGTGTATGCCGCTACAGCCTGCATGGTTTCCCTTCTTGATCAGCAAAGCTTTTTAGGATAGAACTTAGTGTCACTAGAAGAGTTGGTGAGGACTGGTGCCTCTCTCTGAAGAAGCTTTCAGGAGACTTCTTGCTGCCCAATAATAGGGACTGGCATTTGATCCCACCCAGGTAGTAAGCACAATCCTGTAACCCCAGATCTGAGGAGGACAGAGACAGGAGGATCTCTGGGGTTCGCTGGCTTCTACTTAACTATGAGAACACATGCTCGGGGAGAGTCTCTGCTTTAAAGGAATAGTTGGAGAGTGATAGAGGATAATAGCTGGCCTCTTCTGGAGTTGGCATATACACAGATGTGTGCAACCCCCCCCCCGGCATACACATATAAGAACACAGATAAATAAATACTAACAAAGCAGGTATTTCGAGAGGAGCTTCCCAGACAGTTCTTACCTAGTCTGACCTCCTCCTTCCTTGCTCCTAGTTCATTCGGTGGATAACACTCGCATGGACCTGATCATCCCTGGGGAACAGTATTTCTACTTAAAAGCCAGAAGTGTGGCAGAGAGACAGCGATGGCTGGTGGCCCTGGGGTCTGCTAAGGCCTGCCTGACAGATAGTAGAACCCAAAAGGAAAAAGGCAAGTACTGATGGTCCTCTTGTCTGAGAACATTGGGAATTACCCAGAGGCATCTCTGGGTTCTCTCACCCAGCATTTTGTATTGTTGAAATGCTGTGTTTCTAAGCAGAACTTATGCCACAGTCCCTACCTAGTTCCAATTCTGCTCTCTTAGCATGCTAAAAAACATGAAGACTTTGGAGCCAGACACACCTGGCTTGAATGACGTATCAGTACCTCACAGCTACCATAGGTCACTTGATTTTTCTGAGCTTCACTCACCTCTTCTTTGAAAATGTGATTATTTCTGCCTTGGAAGGATGACTGTGAGGTCTTGTGATGACATGAAATGGTATCAGAAAGTTTGGTGAAGAGTGGGTGATTCAGAGAGGACTAAGGTCAACGTGTTCTCTGCAGTATATGCCTCCTTTCCACTGTCTGCCCTGCTGTGGGTGGACTCTTCATTTCCATGCTGCTGCTGCTTAATGCTCATTGATATCACTTGGTCTGAGCACAATGGTGGACCTTGTTTGCACTGGCCAAGAGTATCAAAGCTTGCTTCCTGGCCCCTGGTTGCTACTGTCAGAGCTCCACAAGCCTGTGTGTACACTTACCGAGATTGGCTGTGCTGAGGGAACCTTTCATGTGACAGATGGAGAAGTTCGTAACTCAAGTAGACCCAATAACGTGGCCTCCTTGTTGGTATTTTTGGTGCTAAATCAGGAACAAATTCTCAAATCTGGTGGCTAACCTCAAAGCAGGTGATAGCCTTGCTGGTAACAGCTAGGGGCTTTAACCCTGATAGGCACATGGAGAGCCTGTCCTCAGACAGAACACTGTAGCCGGTGGGCAGATCACTATGATCCCGTATTACAGAGGCAGACGGAGTCCAGAGCACTGAGCTCTGACTCTGCTCCCAGTCCTCAGGAGAAGGGCTCCCCAGACTCTTCTCTTTCTGCACCTGTGATTGCTCAGTACATTGTCTCAAGAAATAGCTGGGACACTCTATCTTTCTACTTTCGTTCCTCCCATATCTTTACCTGTGAAACACATACATAAACCTCATTTGAGGCATTAGTTACTTCCCTCACTTCTGTACAGCTACTGACTAGGAGATGGCTGTTCCTTCTGGTAACTACTTTACCTTTTCTTGTTGTTAACTTAGAATTTGCAGAAAACACTGAAAACTTGAAAACCAAAATGTCAGAACTAAGGCTGTACTGTGATCTCCTTGTTCAGCAAGTAGATAAAACAAAAGAAGTGGCCACATCTGGTGTTGCTGACTCTGAGGTAAAGTACTGTGTTAGTGATGTTACTGACATGATACAGAAAAGTAGTGTCAGATTGCCTGTGAGCATTTATTCTCTGATAATTCCTGACTCTCTTGGAACTGACTGTTCTTTAGAAGAAAGTGGCAGAATTGCATACAAAAATACATGCATTGCAGTGTTTGGAAGCACATACTTTCCCACCCTTGGAGGACTTTAGGATTAATCCATAAAAATCCCATAATTTGGGGATTTTTAGCTTTAGCACTAAGAAAAACAAAAAAGACCATACTAAAGTGTGTTTCTTCCCAGTTTTTACTGCTTTCTAAATAGCTAGTCTTACCTGTCTAACTTAACTGTTTCCTTACATGTGCCTACTAAGATGTCAGCATGCTGTCTGTCAGTGCTATCGCTGTGGCCCTCAGTGAGACTGACAGGATGGTAGTCTGTCACAGTAAATGTGCCCCGTGCTCTCAGAAGTGGAGACATGGCTTTGTTCCACCATCACCAGCAAGGATTGTGATTTTGTTTGTTTGTTTGTTTGTTTGTTCGTTTATAAGTAGGATCTCACTGTTCAGCCCAGGCTAGTTTTGAACTCCGAACCTTCTGACTGAAGCTTCCTGAGTGCTGGGATTCTAGACATGTGCCACCATGCCCAGCTGAGTATTGGGACTTTTAACATTTGTTAATAAAGTTGCTGTATACTCGTCTCAAAGCATCAGAAAGAGATCCGCTAGACTGTGTGTGAAATTACTCACATTGACTAAGAGAGGATCTCTGGGTGCTTTCACAACAGCTATGATCTACAGCCTGGGGAATCCAGAGGTTATATGTAAGAGTGTCAGTTCATTTTCTTAGGGATTAGAATACTGTTTTGAAGTCTTTCTGATAAAACTAGTTTAACTCACTTTCCTTGGCTTCTCATGATCATTCATCAGCTGCCTTGTTGTGTGTAGGACACTGTGTTTGTGGGGGATGAAGGAACAGCAGAACTAAGAGCCATTCATTCCTGTTCTTGCAGGGTTTATATTCTAGAGCATGAACTACCAATTCACAGGCTCTGTATCTGGGGACATTTTGAATGTCACGATCGAGGAAGTGCTGTTGTTATATGTGGTGTTTAGAAGCCGAGGGTACTGCTAAACATCTACAATGAGCAGGAGAATTATGCCTTACCTCTGCAAGCAGCAGACAAACAGAAAGACTATCTTAGTCATTATGCTATTGCTGTGAAGAGATACTATGACGAAGACAGTGTTTAAAAAGCATTTAGTTGGGGCTGACTTACAGTTCAGAGGTTTAGCACATTATCATAGTGGGAACATGGCAGAATGCAGATAGACATGGTGCTGCAGAAGTAGCTGAGAGTTCTACTTCTGGATCTACAGGTAGCAGAAAGGGAAAAACACTAGGCCTGGATTGGACTTATGGAACTTCAAAGCCCACCCCCAATGATAGGTAGAGCAAGGCTATATTCCTCCAGCAAGGCTATATCTATCCCACCAAGGCCACATCTCCAAATCCTTCTCAAGTAGTGCCACTCCCTGGTGACTAAGCACTCAAATATATAAGCCTGTGGGGCCATTCCTGTTCAAAATATCACACAGACATACACACATACTAACTAACCCAAAGTCTTGGTAGTGCCATGGTACTAGCCTAATCTAGAAAGAAGGAAAATTGTGAACATAGCGGTCTGTAATTGAAGAAAGTTTTCACAGTGAGAGCCTTGGAAACTTCATAACAAATATGGATTACAACCAACAGCATCACCTAGGACCTTTATTAAAAATATATACCATCTCCTCAATCTCTAGTCAAAGTTTGGCTCCAGAAGTTCATGAACACCTTACTCATGTCAATATCCAGATGCAAAACACCCAAACAAGTAAACTGCTTTAGAAGAAGAACGTACCTATTAGGTGTTTAAATAAATTCTAGTTTGCTCCACACTGAGAGCAGACAATGCACAGTGCCTGCACCTATGCTCCACACCTAGTATGGTGCTAGCTTACAGTGCAGAGCCAAAAGATGTTGCCGTTGTCTGGAGCAAAGAGCAAATGAAGGGTCGGAACTGCAAGGGTATATATGATAGCAGATAACTTGGGCTAGTTCAGTTCTATTGTTTATCACTGATGTGCATAGTTAGCCAGCTACATCCTAGTAGGGTACATACTATTGTTTTGTGAATATAAACCTCTCAAGAGACAACACAATTGAGTTTTTCATCTTGTAACAAGACAAAAGACTCTTCTGGTTGTTATGTAGGAGGGAATCGATGTGGGAACTCTGCTGAAATCAACCTGCAACACTTTCCTGAAGACCCTGGAGGAATGCATGCAGATCGCAAATGCAGCCTTCACCTCTGAGCTACTCTACCATACACCCCCAGGATCCCCTCAGCTAGCGGTGCTTAAGTCCAGCAAGGTAAAAACCCACCCAGCTCAATTTCTCTCCAGAAGAATTGTGGGACATCAAAAGTTTAAGGACACACCCTTTCATGACTAATAATGTTTTTAAGTGGTTTGCTTTGTTTACACTTTTGTATCTGCCCTTGGTCCCCATGTCTAGTCAGGTATTTTTAGCAACTTGACTCCCCATACAGTTTTCTACTTTACCTCTTCTCTATAACCCCAAAGAGTCTTCCCTAAAATACTGTTATCCTTAATAGTCATGGCCATCCTGGCCCTTCCATTAGCCAACAGTAATGAAGTGTAAATTGGATTTTATCTAAACCTTGCAATCATTCATTCACGGACTATAAGCTAAGACTAAAACTTTGTAGCCCTTTCCTGTATCACCTGCCCCCACCCCCCAACAGTGCCTAACTTGAATGTGCTGATACTTATGCCATTCTCCAGTGCTGGGAATACTCTCTCAGCTTAGCCCCTCCTCATCTTCCTGTGGTCTTCCCTCAGTCCCTACACTGGGCTAAGGGGACTTCCTCTCATTCACTCCCCTATTTCCCTAACTTCTGTTGAAGTTGATTTAAGGGCTGGAATGCCCATAATGCTTACTCTCATGCCTCCAGTGTTGGATATAATGTTTCACCATAATTTGCTATCCAATAATGCTGAATAAGGCTAACAAATTACAATGAAAGCTAGTCATTAGGAATTTGGCTGTGATAATGAGAGCTTTCAAAACCCCAGCTTCCTAAGATATTTGAATGCACTTCATGGCCACGAATTCTTTTCTTGAGGAGCACAATATATTTTACAGCTATATTGATTACTTTCCTATATGATGATATTCTAAATAACACTGTTGCAATTTTACACATGAACTTTCATTTCTTTGCTTTTTTTAAAGATGAAGCATCCTATCATACCAATTCATAATTCATTGGAAAGGTATAGTAACTCTTGTTTTTCTTCCTTCTTAAAGTTAGAAATCTATACACTGTGTTCCTTACTTTTAAAGAAGCACTGGTGGTGATTTGAGATGGTACTTGAAGCAAACCACTGGACTTCCCTCTGTGTGAAGCTAGACCACAAGTGGGTTTGGCAGAATTGGACAGATGTAGCCATTTTCCTAGGAAATCAAGTCTTATCATCGCATCTACTAAAGTCTGTGTAGAGTTGCAGAGAGTTAGAACTTGTCTGGTAGAGGAACTAAATGTTGGCTGCAGTATGCTTTTCCCCAGGAAAACTATGCTGCTTCTCTGTTTTATTTAGAAATGAGAATCTTAAACAGCTCCATAAGTTGAAAATAACTTTCTAGCAAAATCTAAACTAGTACCAGTCCTCTAAATGATTCTTTGATTTTAAAAAATGTATACATGAGTGCAAGTTTGTGTAGCTCAGTGGTGCAATGCTTACCTACCATATATGTAGCATTGAGTCTGATCTGCAGTTACACCCAAGAAAGGAAAAGCTCCCATGACACAGTTGTCAGGGTCTTTACTCATAAAAAGAATGAAGTTGTGTAGGTACTCCCATGAATTGATATAGTGCACATTATCCTTTTAAATTATTAATAGTTCATCCCTTTATGCTGTTGATATATGGTGTGTGCATGTGTGTACACTTGTATGTGTGTGTGTTGATTCCTTATTACAAAGATTGTTCTCAATTTGGTCATTGCTAATTTTTCCTTTTCAGACATTTTTACTAGAAACATTTTTGTAGATTTCTATTTCTTTTGAGACTATGGCTCTATCTGTGACCACAGTTTGAACTGTGAGTTTGTTCATGAATTTGAAATATTTTTTCTTATGCTAGAATCATTGCTGCCCTGTTAATTGCTTTATTTGACTGGGTATAAGATATTACATTCCTTTAAGAGAAGCAGCTGGTTCTTTAAGTGTTAAATAGCTTTTCTGCTGCCCTCTGTGTACTCAGTCCCTCGGATGCACTGTGATCCTCCTGCTGACAGGGGAACTCCCTGCTGGCCACAGCTGGCTCTTCAGACAGCTAACTGCTAAGCAAATATGTTTAAGTAGCCAGTGTGATAAGGAAAAGCCTCCTGGGGAGAAGTTGAAGAAAGTCAACTGAGTGTTAAATGTGGCACACTAAATATTGCCCACTACAGAGCTGCCCTGGGCATTTCCTGATGCTGGTGGAGAGCAAGGAGATTAAGTCACATGGTATAGCAAAAGCCATTAAGGCTCCTTTATTTTTTTTAAAAGAGGGTCTTAATCTATAGTCCAGGTTAGCCTAGGATGATGGCAGTCCTTTTGCTTCAACCTTCTAAGTGTGAGGACTAGAGGCATGAGCCACCACACCCAGCTTTAGTGGTTTGGTTTCTGTACTTGCCTTGGTGTCTGCAGGAGACTGAGAGGTTTGCCTTAGTTTAAGAAATCTGTTTTTAATCAGGGTTTGGTGATTGTGAGATCTTCCCATCCCTTAGAGTAATATCTGAGCAACCTGTGACAAATCACAACATTTTCTTTCAAACCATTTCTTTTAGGCAGATGGAGTTGAACAGTTGTGAAAATGGATCTTTAAATATGGAAGTAAATGGTGATGAAGAAATCCTAATAAAAACCAAGAGTTCCTTGTATTTGAAATCCACAGAGGTAGATTGCAGCATGTCAAGCGAGGAAAACACAGATGATAATGGGACAGGTAATGTCAAAAGAAAGTTTGGCATGCTGTATTGAACAACAGACTTAGGGTCTTCTAACACTCAGGAGGGCACAGATATAGATTAGCCTCCACACGATGTGCGGCTGATCTAAGAGAGCTCACTACTGCAGGTGGCGCAACTATACAGCATTCTGTTGTCTCATACAATACTGTGTTTAGGGGAAACACAGAGTTCTTGGTGCTGATGCTCATGGCTGCGTTTAGGTGGGTGTAATTGGTTCCCTGACTCTCCCACAATGTCTCAGAGTCTTTTGAACCCAGACTGTAATGTCAGACTTGGTGTGTAACATTAGAGCAGCTAAGTGTTTCCATCTCCTGGTTTCTAGTAGGGCCTGAGGATGTCACAGTTTACCAACCACCAAACTCCTGTGAGTTACAAGCCAAATTCCAGGTAATACCTGTGTAGTTGGGAATAATGTCCCTTTAAATCTACTAATGCCACTGGCACTAATCACAAAGCCCTGTCTTCATATCGGCCAGCTTAACTATACTAGGACTTGTAGTTGTGTATTAAGTGCTTACTAAATGATTTTAAGTCTGAGTACTTAAGTAAGTTAATTTCCTCTATAGATGCCTTAAAATAAAAGATTCCGTATTTTTTCTAGCCCAATCAAGTTTTTTTTTTGTTACGTTAAACCTAGAAGCTGTTAAATATTGATCTAAGAAAAGTGACATATAACCCTTAAAAGTCTGATTTCTTTAGTAAAAATTCCCTGTAGGAATCTGTGGCCACAAACAGTGAGATTTAAAGATAAAACCCTTTGAATGGGACTCTATATAACATGACAGTCAGTTTTCATGTATTATGCTTATACTGTGTAAAGTCACCCCAATACTGACTAGCAAATAGTGTGACTACTCTAAGGGAATAGTTTGTTCTCTGCAATGCTATGATTTTGATCACCCAATCAATGAATAACGTTGCTCTAATGCCCTTTTCTATTTAAAAACACTTGTGTGGTCTAGACAAACACTGAACTCAGAGTAGGCACCAGGCATCAACTATAACTTATGTCTACATCCATACTCTCTGCATGAAGGTGTAGTTCAGACTTCTTGTGTTTATGCACTTCAGACAGTATTACTGCTTGGAGCCTTCTTAAACTGCAAAATTAGTAACAGACAATATATACATGTAAAACCATGGTAGTAAATAAAGGCATTTGTGGTATGAGAGTGAAGCAAGACAAACACCTAAGCCCATGCATACTTGGTACCATCCTGCGCTGCCAGGGCTACCTAAAAAGCACCACAAGTCTTGATTTGGGATTCACAAGTAAATGTTAGCAAGTGGGCAAATCCACAATCAAAGAATATGCCCACTAAATTTAGAAACCACTAAATGCCTCTCATATTGCTATAACTGGTACCACTAGGTCCTTAAAATCATGTTTCAGGGGCCAGCAAGACTGCTCAGTGGGTGAAGGCCCTTGCCACAAAGCCTGATTATCCTGGCTAGATTCCCTAGAATGCATATGATGGAAGGAAAGAACTAACTCCTCCAAGTTGTCCTCTGACCACACATATATATTCAAAATATACAAATAAATATAAAGACAATACATCATGTTTTGAAGAGATGCACTGATAAATGAAAACAAGATACACATCTGTTCCTCAGGCGTGCGTGTGTGCGTGTGCACATTTCCTTCTCTGTGTTTGAGAGATTTTCACTAATGATCATGTGTTTATTTTTATACTAAACATATAGGAACTTAGTGACAGGCATTGTTTACTTTGTACCCCAAGGTGAGACACTGAAGGCAGATGAAAAGGAAAACCTGGGGAATCATGAGGGTGAGCTGGCACAACCTGGATCAAATTCAGTCTGCTCACCAGAGTCCGTCTGGAAAGACAACGAAGAGGTTGTCCCGACTTTCTTTAGCGCCATGAGTGCCAGGTATTCCAGACCCTTTACACTCTCTGGCAATCAGACCCTAGTTTCTCTTCTGAGAAATCAGTTGTGATGGTATATTTGGATTATGAGGGTGGATTATCTCTGCAAAATGATGTTAATGGACTGTTTTCATAATAGAAAAATGGCATCTGGGGCTACTCATGAAACCAGACAGTGGTTTCCCTAAAAAGCTGTTTCTGTGACATCTCTGAGCTGCAGAATGCTGATGTGGTTTTAATCTTCCGTTCTCCATGTCACCAAATTGTTCAGCTTTAGTGACATTGAACTTCTGGAAGACAGTGGCATTCCCACAGAAGCATTTTTGGCATCTTGTTATTCAGTGGTTCCAGTACTAGGTAAGATTGCTACAGTTGCATTATATCCATTAGTTTCTAGACTGTTTTCCTGTTACAGTTATTTCATATGATAAATAATCTGAATGTGTATAGTAAAGTGACCCTTCCTAGCTTGCTCTTGACATCACATTGTCACACACTGTGTGACTTAAACACTCTGGCATTTTCCCTTTCCATTTCGAACTGATGAAGTTATTGATCTTAGAGTGCTATAATGAAAATGGAATTCTGCTTTCTAGAAAATATACATACAAGCAAAGTGGAGGTAGGTCAGTAACAGGCCTTCAAACCTCTCACTACTATGGGGAAATGTCTTAACCGTCAAAAGAAGTTTTTCAAAGATAAATTGAGTTTCCAAGATAATTTATACTTAGTATAAAGTAAACAAACTGTTAATGTGTTGAAATTTACTCCGATCTATTATGCATGTTTCTCCTTGTTTCTCATTGGTTTGAGTATGTGGTACATATGCATATATGTGTGTTAATATTTGTGAGGGAGAGGGTGAATTTGTGTATCTGTATGTAGAGGCCAGAGGTTGATGTCAGGCATCTTTCTCCATAGTCTCCACTTTATTTACAGTGATCCTCTGTCTGATCCTCTGCCTCCCAAGTGCTGTGATTATAGGTGATTTCCATGCCTGCCCAACTTTGACATGGGTCCTGGGGACCTGAACTCTGGTCTTCACACTTGTGCAGCAAGTACTGCACACACTGAGTCATCTCCTAAGCCCTGTTCATGTCTTTTTAATTGAGGTATAACTTACATCTATAACTTAAGTGTTATGATTGTCAATTTTGATACCTACCCATATATTCTATATTCCTGTCAGTATATTCATCACCCTAGAATTTTCCCTGTGCCAGTTGGTTCACAATCCATTGTGAGGTTTGAGGCAGTCATTGTACTGATTCCTGTCACCATAGTTTAGTTTTTCCTTGCATATATGAATGGAACCCTGTTGTTTACTCTTGCATCTGGAGATCCATCTTCGTGGTGTATGTTCCTCATTCTCTCAGGTATCTAGGACTGGAAAGTGTTACTAAACGACTTGACTTTGTGACAGTCTGTAGGAAGTCTTTAGCGCAGCTGTGCAGTTGCACACTCACAGCTGCCTTGTGCTGGGATTCTAGGTGCTTCGCCTCTTCATGGTGGCTGATGCAGATACTTGAGGTTTTGGCCTCCCTGGTGTGTTCAGTGGCTTCTGTTGTAGCTTTGCATTTATCAGTGCTATCACATAAATATTGCCACTGTAGTATTTGTCTCTCCAAATCTAGCTCATGTTCTAAAGTTTTTTTTATTTTCTAAATTTATTTTTATTACTTAGGGTGCTATTACTGAAGATGTTCCTATTATTGAATTTTCAGAATTCTTTAAGATTCTTAGTAAAATACCATTATAGATATGAATCAAAAATATTTCTCGCCGGGCGGTGGTGGCGCACGCCTTTAATCCCAGCACTTGGGAGGCAGAGGCAGGCGGATCTCTGTGAGTTCGAGGCCGGGCTGGACCGATAGCCTCCAAAACAATACGGAGAAACGCTGTCTCGTAAAAACCGAAAAAAATATTTCTACTGCCTATTTATGTGCATGTGATATCTTTTTTGTAAATCTACTTTTAGAAAAGTAAGTTTCACATTTTGACAGTTGATTTTTGTGTTAATGTTTTCAGTTGTCCTTTGGTTACTTTTTATTAAGGGTCATAAAGATGCTGTCTCATTTTTCTAGATTTTTAATTTTTACATTTATGGTGTATGTATAGGTGTGTGTGGGTGTTGTGGGAGCACAAGTGTGCTAGAATACATGTGTGCACAGTCGCGTACTCATGTGAAGGCTAGAGGGCAGTCTTGGGCGCTCTTCCTTGTGCCACCCACGTTGTTTTTTGAAACAAAGTCTCTTACTGGCCTGAAGTTAAACATGTAAGCTAGGTTGGCTGACCAAAGAGTCCCAAGGATCTCCCTGTGTCTACCTCTCCAGTATCCCTATCAGTATTGAGACTGTCAGCATGTGTCACCATGCCCTCCCCCTATCAATGGGTGCTGGGGATTGAAGGCAAGGACTGTCCAGCCATCTCTTCAGCCCATAGTCCATGCTGGAATTCCTTTTTTATGTGTTGTGATGTTGGGATTGAGGGTCATTTTTGACTCAATCATAATCTAGCTATTTAAGAGCCATTTGCCAAGAAAAACAACCAGTATCCTCTTACATTGCTCTGACCATCTGCTCCAGAACCTGTAGGCCTATAAAATGGGTCTCTCTCTTCTGTTCCTGTAATTAGTCAGTCTTTCCTTAGTGTCTTAATAATGTAAAGCTCAAAATCAGAGATTGTAATTCTTCTAATTTTGTTTCTTTTCATGATTGTTTTGGTAATTATAGGTCCCTTACAGGTTGGTATAATTTTAGTTTTAAATTACCTATTAAAGGACCTCTGGGATTTGATTAAAACTGCATTGAGTCTGTGAGTCAGTCGGGAAAAATGAATGTCTTACTCAATATTATGTATTCTAACCCATGAGTATGATATATGTGTGTTATATATTTAATGCATCTATTTTTATATACATATGTATATAAAGATATGTAAATGGATGTATATACACAGCTTTGTTGTGTTTATTTTCTCTAAACAATGCTTTGTATACCATTGTGTTTTATTAGTAATGAACTTTGGAGTTTTATGGGTTTGATGCTATTCACATATGTAGTACTAATACATGTAGTTACATTGATTGTTGTACGCTGGTAGTTGTTTTTATAGCCATGAAATCAGATAATTTTATAAAATGCTTTTTCTGCAGCTATTGAAATTTATGTTTTTCTGGTAATTACCTAGATAATGAACTACATTTTTACATCCATTTACATTCACTCCTGTTTTGCTGTGTTTCTACCATCTTTGTGTTTTCTGTTTTGTCTTTTTGTTCTCATTTCCTAGCTTTGAGCCAGTGAAACCATTGTTCTTCAGTATGCTATTTTATTTCATATTTGGGGTTGTTGTAGCTATATGTTTTTTCATCTTTTTTAAGATCAGTTAGATAATTTTTAGAATTCATTTTTTTCTCTGCTGCTTTTATATTATGCTTTAAAAGTAAAGATTATGTTTAGTAAACATAAGTAATCAAAATTAGGAATTAGACCTAGCAAAATTAAATTTAGTAGTATAGTCAAACCACATGTAATTTAAAGTTTATAGAAGATACATTAAAATAGTAAAAACAAAATTAATGTATCTTATGAAACAGCATATCTAAAATGTCATATTAACATGTAGTTGTTATAGATAGCCATTAATGAGGTATTTTTCATTCTTTGCTGGTAAGTCTTTAAAATCTGATAGTGTATTTTAAGCTTTCAATTCATTTCAATTTGGACTTTACAGCATTGCAAGTTCTAAGTCAACCTAGATGATTTCAAATGGGTGCTCTAAGTTTATGAGGCATTTTCATCTGATGTGCCACATAGGGCCTTGTTACTGTGACTCACCTCAGAGCAGTATGAGAGACAAGCTGGTGACCAAGTCCCGTTCCAAAGCCAATATTTAGAAAATGACTTAGAAGTCAGAGTAATGTTGGGGGAAAGATCTTCTAAATGTGTTATTACTGTATAAATATTTTCTAATAAGTGGTTCCTACATTTAAAAGCAGTCCTTCAAAAATATTTCTGATCCTTTCTTTCAGACAAACTTGGTCCTACAGTGTTTGCGCCTGTGAAAATGGATCTTGTTGGAAATATCAAGGTGAATATACTGGCTTGTCTCTGTAGAGACATATCGATAAAGGGATGGTTTTCACTCCTTTTGTGTTTGACAAGAGTAAATACAAAAGGGGAAAAAATCATTCATGCTGGGGTCTTTCAGTAACAGAATGGCTGAGATGGCCTTGATATGTGAAAGAGGCAAGCCTTTGGTAGTCTGGCCTCTTTAAAGAGCTGAGCTGGATCAGAGGAGAGTCCTCATGGCAGCAATGATTGTATGCATTTTGGGGTTCAACAGTAACAAGGAACGTTTCTCCAATAATAGATTGCTGGCAATAGCTACCAGTTGCTGGGACTGGAAAGCCCAACTCTCTGGTGCATCTGTAGAGCCATCAACAACAGGAAGTCTGAGCCTCCTTCCCAGAAAATGAGAGCTATTTGTATTACACCCAACATCTATGGTTTAAATAGCTTTTTAAGTACATGCAAATCCTAGCACTTGGGTGGCAGAGACAGGAGGATCTATGTGAGTTCAAGGCCAGCCTGGTCTACAGTGTAAATTCCAGGACAGCCAGGCCTATGTAGAGAGACCCTGTCTCAAAAATAAAATAAAACACAGTCTACACCACTAAGTATGATGCGTTAAGGAAGTTCTGTGGATGCCTTTCCCGGCATGTTTGGAGAGGTTGGGAGGTACATGGCGTCTCTCCATGTACCTCCCAACATGACTGTTAGAGGTGAGCAGAGGTACCCAAGAACATTGCTTAAAACCCACGGCTCTTGGCCTAAGTTAAAGCCTCATAGAATTTTTGGAATGTTTAAAATACTTACCCTAAAAACATAAGAAAGATAGTAAAGTCTGGCTTTGGTTTCTTAGAAGTCTTCTTGCTTATAGATTTGAATACTGTACTGATACTACTGGTGATGTTACAGTTTTCATCTAGACAGTTGTCCTGCTTTTTGTTTTTGTTTCACAGAAGGTAAATCAGAAGTACATAACCAACAAGGAAGAGTTCACTACCCTCCAGAAGATAGTGCTGCATGAGGTGGAGGCGGGTGTAGCTCAGGTTAGGAACTCAGCAACCGAAGCCCTCTTGTGGCTGAAGAGGTGAGACGCTCAAGGGGAGGGAGTGGATGCTCAGTCAAGCTCAGTTCACTGTTGCCTGTGAATGAAGAAAGTGTGGTGAAGAGAACAGCAGCTTGATGGCAATACACGTTGTTAATATTGGGAGTATTTGTAAGATCAGAATTCTAGACAGCAGAGTCAGCGGGTTTCTCTTTAAGTGAGTGTCTTTCTACTCCAATGGCAAAGCTTGGTAAAACTCTCAGAACCAGAGTTTCTAGACCCCTAAATCTGGTGTGGTGTTCTGGAATTTTCATTTCTAATGAATTCTAGATGGTGCTAAAGCCACAGTCATAGAATGTATAATTTTAAAACACTGCTTTAGGAATATCAGAAGGGGTGAGTGGCATATCCAGAGATTTCTAATAGGAAGCTGGTCACAAAGGGCCTCTGTTCATCCTGCCTGAGACACTTAAATAAAAGCTAGCAACTGCCGCCTGAACGTTGAAGATGATATTCCTTCTTTCTTTCATTTTAGAGGTCTCAAATTCTTAAAGGGCTTTTTGACAGAAGTGAAAAATGGGGAAAAAGATATCCAGACAGCACTGAGTAAGTGTGCTTCTTCATATTCTGATAATCTGTAATTAGACTTGGGATGGAGACCCTGGAGGTGGGAACAGAGCATAGGGGGCATTTCTGCTTCCGTGGGTTTGATTTTCTTCTCTTTTTAAATTTCATTTGTATTCATTGCTGCAAGTATGCTTTCTTTAAAAGGGATCTATAAGGATGTGGCTTAGTAGTAGAGCTTTTACCTAGCATGTGTGAAGCCCTGGGTTCAATCCCTGTGTCATAAGAACAGAATAAAGGGAGGGAAGGAAAGTGTCTATGCAGTGACTAGGTCATCCAGGTCTGACTTGTTAAAAATAAGTCAATTTATCATCCCAATTCATGATAAGGTCAGTTTTCTTAAAAGAGTCTGCAGGAATAAGTAATTGAAGAGAAACTACTTCAAGTATAGGAAAGAAGGTGGGAGGGGAAATCCTGAGCATCTGGTTGTAGAGTGAGACTAAGGGCCAGCTGTCACCCTGTGCTCCTCCACATGTCCATTTTGTAGAGATAGGAGCCAAGATTGCAAGAAAGGCCTTTGTGAGAGGATACTGACCTATATTTCCATCACAGTGTGGTAACTAAAAATGTATAGGTGCTTCTTAGTGAGTACATACTGGTAGGTGGGCTGTGGGTTGGTGCATCTATCAGAATAGTTTTGACAAAGTAGACTTCATAGCATCCTCACAGTGCACTGATAATAACATGACTGAATTTTTTCACTCTGGGCCTGTGGAAATTATGTTGCATGAGTCTTTTTGTTTACTTGCTTTCTTGGTTTGATGTTAGTGAGACAGGGTCTCACTGTGTAGCCCAGGCTGGTCTCCAGCAATAATCCCACGCCTCAGGCTCTTGGGTGCTGGAATGATAGACAGGTGTCAGCACACCAGGCCTAGCATGAGTCTTGGGTATGTGGAGGGAGTGAAATGCTTGTTATTCTAAAGCCTGGATAATTACAATGCTGAGATAAAAAAGTCAGGTATTAAGTAGCTGCGGTTATAAACAGAAAGATGAGTTAATTCTGTGCCTATAGGGAGGGTTACAATATTCTCTGTAGTAGTTTTTCCAGTTTCCTAAGGGGTATCTTCCCTCCTGACACAAGTTCTGAGAGACTCTGCCCCCTTAAGATTTGCTCAGTCCATCCTGGCTAGAAACTGATGGTGTGCCATGTGACAATTACGCTGACACTTCTGTAGCTCTTTAAAAATGGGCACAACTTAACTACATCTGTTCCATTTTACTCAGTAGAGAACCAAAATTATGAGAGATTAAAATACTTGCTTCAGATCCCAGAGTCATCACATCACATAAGACATTGGTAACCTGCCTGAAAATGAGGCTTTTTTGTCCCAAATCAGAAGGAGAGAGCTTGTTTATCTCAGGTGCCAAACCAGAAATTCCTCTTCAGACCAGCTTCTTAGTGTGGAAATATCCTACTGGAAGGGTGACCCCTGTGCCTGACAGGCCGCACACATGAGCCAGCACCCTGCTGATGATGCTCTTTGCTACATGGGAGAAAGGGATCCCAATGCTCCCAGGGCTCTGCTCGTAAACAGGAGGGCTTTGACCTTGAGGCTTGGCCATTCCATGCCACTCAGCGTTTGTCTCTCCTCAGTTGGAACTTTGTGTTTGAGTTTGTTGTAGCCCAGGGTAGCCTCCAACTCAATATGCTGCTGAGGATACCCTTAGATTTCCTACCCTCCTGCCTACAGCTCCCAAGTCATGGGATGATTATAGGCCTGTATCAGTGCTGTTGGTTCATGCAGTGCTGGAGCTAGGGACTCAAACCCAGGGCTTCACACATGCCAGGCAAGCACTCTGCCCACAAGCTACACATTCCCGCAGCACTCTGGCTGGTACATTCACTTGAGTTGCAGAGAGGACCCAGATGTTGACTAAGTGAAGAGAAAGTTTGAAGGGCAGATGTTGCTTTGTAACTGAAAATTATTGTAGCCAGTCTTTCATCTGCCTCCCTACTCTCCCTTCAGTGCTGTTCTTGAAGAAGAACAGGGAGCTGTGAATTTGATGTTTCATTCTGACATTCAGATTCATTCCTTAAATGGTATGTCTTTTAATAACCCTACTTTCTGTTGCCATCCAGTGTGAGGGAATAAAATACCTTAGCCACCTCTTCCTTCAGACACTGCTGCAAAGAAACTGCAAACAGATGTGATTTAATGTTTAAGTCTTTGACCATTTCATACCTGTGTGTATTTCTTTCAGTCATTTCATTCCTGTGTGTACTTTGTCATCTCTACCCATACTTCTCTCATCCTCTTCCACTCCTACTGACCCCCTTCTCCACAAATACCCCTACACTCTGAATTCCCCTTTAAAGTGTAAAAGTTGGTGTTCAGCAGGAGGCATTAGCAAAGCCAGTCACAGACCCAGATTCTGTGAGCTCTAGTTGATCAGTGCATGCTAAGGTTCTTAGGCACCCATGGCAAATATGGCCTTAAAAGGACCATTTGCATTAAATTGTTCAGACCTTAAAGACTCCTTGATACAGATTTCTTCTGGGAGGACCACTTTGCTTGTCTTATTTAAAATTATAGCCCCTGTCAGTGGAGCTGTTATCTTGTCCGAGTTAAGGTGGATATGTAGATGGGAGTGTGTATACAGGATCCAGTGAGATGGCTCAGCAAGTAAAGGCACTTGTCACCAAGTCCAGTGACCTGATTTTGATTCCTGAGACCCACATGGTGCAACTCCCACAAGTTGTCCTCTAACTCTCACATACATTGTTATACATAAACACACAAAATAGGGGCTGGAGAGATGGCTCAGAGGATAAGAGCACTGCCTGCTCTTCCAGAGGTCCTGAGTTCAATCCCCAGCAACCACATGGTGGCTCACAACCATCTGTAATGAGATCTGGTGCCCTTTCTGGCCCGCAGGTATACATGTAGGCAGAACACTGTATATATAATAAATAAATAAATCTAAGAAAAATAGAAATAAGCACACAAAATAAATACATCATTAAAATTAAAGCTTATGTATAATTTAAATGCTGCATCTAAGCAAATTAGCTTGCTTCTTTAAATTCTAAAACCGCTTTACTTGATAACAGCTACTACTAAATAGTACCCAACTATAGCCATAGCAGTAGCTTTTTGGGTTTTGTATGCTTGGTTTTCTGGCAGTACTAGGAACCAAACCAGGGCCTCACATATGCTAGGAGAGTGTTCTTACACTAAGCTGTGGAATAATTCCCAGCACCCAGAGGGAAGCCCGAAGCCTTACTCTGCCCCCTTTGCTCATGAGCGTGGAGTGAAACAATTTGGGTGGTCTCCTTCATCTCCTCACATTCCCTCAGGATCATCTCAGGAGGATTTGATCACAGGTAATAGGGTTAATGGTTTGCCCTAGGACTGAGTCATTTGTAGATGCCATACTCAGGAGGTTTTGAAAATTCAGTCTGAGCGGTGGAAGCGCAGAAGCCGCCCTAGCATTCGAGCACTGTTGTCCTAAATGTTGCCTTGCTCTGCACTGTAACTCAGCAGGAAGGCAAATTCACACACCACAACTCACAACTACTCCATAAAAGTCAACCAAGACCAGGACCAGAAGAGGAAGAAAAGTTTAAAGGATACCAGGTCGTGTATTTAAAGTGAAAGGCCATCCCAGACAAGGAGAACTAAGAATGCAGAAGCAGATATTTAATATCAAATCAAAACCTGACTAATTACTATGAAAGCATGAAGGGGCAGGAATCAAGTCCTGTCCTTTGGAGCTCATAGCGTGCTTTGTACTGGCAAGGTTGCCTTATGACAGGCTTGCTCATGTCTGTTCAAGTTAACGTGGGGCTTGTCTGGGGGTTGTTCAGTACCTGCCCATGGTTACTGAATTGATGCTTCCTCGTGCGATTTTCCTCACTAGAGCCTCACAAGAAGTCAGAGAGTTCTTTCTTACTTTAGTTTTGGTTTCTTGAGACAGAGTATGTACTCCTGGCTGTCCTGGAGCTCTCTGTGTAGACCAGGTGGCCTCAAACTCAGAAAGATCTACCTGCCTCTGGCTCCTGAGTGTTGGGATTAGAGGTGTGCACTACCATGCCAGGTTAGTTTATTTCTTTTAGAGACCAAAAAATACTGCCAGATTGCAGATCATGCCTCATAATGAGAGAATTGTAGTGAAGATTAGTGCTTCTCACTATTTAACCTTCTCTGTGTAACCAAGATAAGGTTAGACTCCAACTTATTTCAATACAGCCTTGCATAACACAGATACTTGCAGCTCTAGAAGTCAGCTAAGAACTTCTGACTTTTTAGTGCATTTTTAGGTTATTTGTAGATTTTTAGTGGTCTGCCTAGGCTTTCATCAGAACCCAGCCCAAAGTGTAGCTTCTCTCTTTCCCATCATAGCTGTGACTCTACTGTGTGACTCTACCTTGCGGGTGGGTGCAGGCATGAGGTACAGCCACATCCTCTGGTTGGGCCAGGTGGGAGGACATAGGTGGCATGTGGTGCCCCTGCTCCCCTGTCCTTAGGCCAACTGCCCATATTTTTAGACTCCCAGTAACCTTGTCTTCTCTGCTTCCTGCTGTTTAGAAAGAGGGCATGGAGAAAGGGGTTCTAGATTGTGTGGAATGGTTGGCACAATGCAAGAACTCTGAGGGCTGGATTAGGGTCACAGGAAAACAAGAAGACCTACTACCTTCTCTCAGTAACTACTGGTCCAGGTGGCTCCTAAGATAGCTGAGAGGGTTAGAAGTATTGCTGTCCTACTTGTTTTCCTCAGGGCTGTGTCTGGCACTGCCTGCCTGTGCTACACTCTCTGTGCTGTGTGAGTCAGCAATGCTCTTCTCAAGACGTCACCAAAGCCCTGGGTACCATCTAAGCTTCCCACATGCCAACCCAGAGTCAGCTAAGTGTTGGGCTTACATGGAGGTTATGTGTCTTTAAGGTCCTGCCTTGCTCAGACTATGTGCCTAAGGGGAAAACATTAAACTTAGTCTTGGGCTCTCCTTTCAACTGTATCTAAGAATTTCTCCATATTTACATTTAATTTCTTTCCCTTCTGCACAGGCTGTCACACCAATACTTACATCTCATCCTATTCCAAACTCTAGGTGGCCAAGGGAATCTATTGTATTTAAAAAATCCGAGTCATATATAAAGTATGTTATAACATATATTGAAGCATTCTTTTATAGAAATTCATTTTGTACAAATGGTAATACACACTGAAGTTTTTAGTAAAGCCTTATCCAAAAAACTGGAATATAAATTGGCTAAAATTACATAATTTCAAAACTGTAGTAGGCTATAGACCTTCTAAGCTGCAGCCCCATGGCAGTGCAGTACTTACCAGCGTCCCGTGCTCTGCGTTGCTTTCCCCACATAGGAGCTCAGACTTACAGTTCTAGTGTCTGTTTTCTGTACATCTGCCCTGGGCAGAGCCAAGCATGGTTGTATGTCCTATCACAGTATCACCTAAGCCTTCACTAAGTGGTATACTACCTGCACTAACACCGGATTAGCACAGGAAAGTAGATGATTTGGAATAGAAAACGTAGATGTGCTCAGGCAAAACATGAGATAAAGGTCAGGGCGCTCCTGTGATGCTCTGTGAATAACCCAAGAATGCCATCAGTTCCTTGAGACCATGTGTAGATGTAGATGAAACATACGAAGGAAAGTACATGGAGGGCTTCAGTTTGTCTTCTGAGAATATATCTGTTCTGTGGAAATGATAGAATATCAGCTTTGAGTTTTCTATATATTGAGTTATCCAGTATTTCAGAAAATATATTTCTTGAATAAATTCCATCCTTTGCTCTTGGGATTTTTTAATTAAGATTATTATGTACCAGTTTTAAAAATATCTTGGGACCAAAATAATAGGCATTTCTTTAGCATATACCATGTGAATAAGTTTATTAACAATTCTCCACACTTACTTTATAACCAACTTCAAGCCATCCTGTCCAGACATTTTGTTTTGCTTTGTTTTGTTTTGTGGGATTTTCTGTTTTGTTTTGAGATACAGCCTTCCTCTGTTGCTTAAACTGACCTCAATTTTTTGGCTTGAATAACTCTCCTTCCTTAACCTACTGAGCTGGAACTGTAAGTGTATATACTAAAAATGGCTTTTCTATAACATTTTAGAGGTTTGGGGCCTTTATACTGTATATCCAGGGCTACAGGGTATTAAGACAAATGTTTGCTATCTCAGAAGCAAACATTAGAATTGGCAAGAACTTAGAGATTATTTCACTAAGGGAGAACGATGATTAGAGAAGATACATAAGCCTGGCCCAGGCTTAGTCTACATTTCAAAGAACTGTGTTTTTAAGTTAATTGCATAGTTCTCATTGTATTTAGTCACAATTTTCTATGTCCTTTTCTCTCTACTTACTGCTTTATATATGAAAATTGCCCTGCTCTGATAATAGACGAAGGTCAGTACAGTGGCCCCTGTGTAGGTGAAAATGCCTGTTTTTCTCGAATGAAGGAGGAGAAGGGGGAGAAGTAGAAGGGAAGGGGCAGTCTATGTGTGCTTCTTTCCTTTGTAACACCGGGGTATAAAATCTTGGCATTAGATTTCTAATCCAGGAGGACCCATACAGTAAACAGTAGCTTATGCAAATCTTACCATTCACACCTCACAAAATCTCTTTCTTTTCAAGATAACGCATATGGCAAAACATTACGGCAACACCATGGCTGGGTAGTTCGAGGGGTTTTTGCGGTAAGTCATTCCTGTCCTCTAAAGTTTTCGTGATCAGGAAGGTGTGTTTTGTTTACGTGGTATTTCTGCTTGTGTTAGTTTTGGAGACAAGACAAAAATTGCCAGCTCATTTATGTGTGTAGCCCTTTAGAATGCGGAGGTTCACAGCAATAGAGAATATCAGTCCTCACAAAGACCAGCTAAGACTTACGAATGAGAGCGTTTCAGTGATGCTGGAGTTCTGCCTCTGAAGTGGCTGTCTTCTTGGAGGGAATAAGAACCTGAGCTGGGATTTCAAAACCACCAAGGAGAAATAAAGTCCACTAAGAGTTCCAGCTAACAGCTCCCTTTGCTGCCCATTCTGTCGGCCCTGTTCATTCTCAGCTCTTAGTTCATTTTTGTTGTCACTTTTATTCATATATTAAGAGTGTGGGTACATATCACCAGGCAGAGCTAGTAATCTCTAAAACAGTTGTTATCACAGTGAAGACACTTGTATATGTGTTCACCTGCTACCTGCCATTTCTTCTTCCTGGCATTTTGTTTCACCTCCTTAGCTTTTTAAAAATACCTTTTGATTTAATCTTTTAAATACTAATCAAATGTATTTATTTCTTTAAATATGTAGTTCTACTTATACATGTACCCACATGTTTATGGAATGTATGTAATTATATATATATATTCTTTTTTCTATTTAGCTATAGTATAATTCTATAGTCTTTATCCATACTTAATAGATTCTGTGGTGACTTTGTTGTTGTTTATGGTGCTAAGAATCAAACCTAAACAGGCACAATTGCAGCAGTCCCAGTTAGGACCATTTTAATACCATGAGAGTTTGGGGGAAAATCCTATTTTTAGTGGCTGTATAATATGGCTCATAATTTGTGAGTTTGTTCATAGCAGCAGCACAGAGTCTGCTCACACACATCTTTTACTAAAGTTCTTATTTCTCTAAAGTAGATTGCTGAAAGAATTGCCTTTCAAATATCAAGCTTTGTATCTACAGCTCACAATTTAGAGTACTTATCATGCATTATTCAGTGTTTGAGAGCCATAAAGTTATTACCCTCCTAACACAGAGATAACTGTTACTTTCCCTGCTGTAGACAGAGACCTGACACAGAGGGAGACAGCCCATTTGCAGCCTTATACAGTGTCCAGGATTTGAAGCTGCTGGTATTTAAGCAGTGCCTGATTTCAAGCATTTTGCCACAGTGCTATTTATAGATGAGTCAGGGTCTGGAGCTTCACTGACCTCACAGCCTCAGTTACTCCTCAGGTTATCTATACTTTGGAAGGCTTACTCCATTTTAGTGTGCTGCCTAGCCTGTCTTAGTTGTTCAGAGAAAAAATCTTTCCATTCCTGGGATCTGACTAATTTGCCAACCAAGTAGTGAACTTTAATCCTCAAACATGTCAAGTGCGCACAAACGCCAGGCAAGCCTCTGCTGCCAGCTTGTTGATACCCAGCTGTTACTTGACCTTCCTGTTTCCTTCTTTAGCCAGATTGGAGAGTTGAGCTTAGCCTTGGCCCTGCCTCTTTTTTTCCTAGAGTGCTGGTCTGACAGGGTGAAGACTTCTAAATTAACAGTTGTTTCCTTAGGCCTCAACCACTGTCTCCAGCTTCCGCTATCACTACTGGAAAATTCAGTGTAGTCCTGCCCCACTCTGTATCAACTGTACTTGCCATCAAGATAGGCCTATATTCTTCTCTTTTTCTTCACACTCTAAAGTTTCATGATAAGCTTCTCTGTTTTTCATCATTCAAATTGCAGGGCCTGGCCTTCAGTTCTGGAAGATTTTCTACATTGTGTTTTAAATAACTACCTTGTTGTCTGTCTCTCTCCTTACACTTACACTATCTTCTGAATGCTAATTATGTGCCAGGCTTTAGGTAAAACACCTTTATATAATCTTAGTTGTAAAGGGAAGCCTTTTTCTTGAGAGAAACCTTCCCGCCAGCCTGGTTCTAGAGCTGCTTCAGTCCCAGATAAACACACAGAAGGCTATATTAATTACGAAGCTGTTGGCCTTGCTTGTTTCTTACTGGCTAGCTCTGAATTAAGTATTTATCCCATAATTGATAATATAAGTATTTCTCTTACCGGAGAACTTTCCGGGCTTCCTACCCCATCGAGTTACATCTTGACTCCCTGTGTTTCTCCTACCCAGAGTCCTCCTCGACTCCTAGTCCCACCTATCTTACTTCGATATTGGCCAACAGTGCTTTATTGACAAATACACAGGACTTCCCCAACACTTAGTCTTTAAAATAAAAGTTTAGCTGCCTTCCATAGGTTATGAAAGTAAGGTTCTAGGAAGGTAAGCCCTTTGCTTAAATTCTTCAAATGAGTATGTGAACAATCTGAGATTCAATGAAACAAGCCACTCCTGCTTTACAAATGGGGAGAAGGGAATCTCAAAGGTTTTCAGGATATAAGGGGAACCATTGGAGATCCTCTGCTGTCTCAGGAGAGCCAACCGTAGTAAGAATCAGAAAAAGGATTTGGCAAGCTGGAAATAGCCAGACTAGCCAGATTCAGCGAGAGGTGGTAAAGGAGAACTTAGGAAGTCTTCACCGAGAAGAAACATCATGTGGTTGAGAACCACAGGGTGAGCCTAGGTTTCAGAACTGGCCCCGGTGTTCCTGAGACTTACAATGTTTCTACAGGAATAGACATAGAAAGTCTGCATGATTCTTACAAATTATGTTAAAATATCAGTATAGAAGCAGATGCTATCTCTGTATTAGTTACTTGTCGCTGCAACACATACCTGGCAGAAGCAGTTTAAGGAAAGAAAGCTCATTTCTGCTCAGTTTGAGGATTCGGCCATGGCAGAGAAGCCATGACAGTGGCGCCTGAGCTGGTCACATTGCTTCCATAGTCAGGAAGCAGAGAGATGAATGCTGGTGTTTTCTCTTTTCATCTAGACTGGGGCCCCAGTCCATGGAATAGTGCCTCTCACACTGAGAGTGAATCTCTCCAACCTTAACAGACCCCTGAAACTCACAGGTGTGCCCACTAGATTGTCCCCTTAGTGATTCCACAGGTTAACACTATTACCACCATAAGTCTACCCTTTTTACCATAGGCTCCTGGCCATCTCATCACACAAAATACACTTAATCCAACTTCAAAAGTCCTCATTTTGTTGTCTTTAACAATTCCAAAATTGATCAAAAGTCTCTTATGAGACTCAGTCAATCTCTTTAACATTGAGCCTCTGTAACATAAAAAAATCAAGTCACATACAAAGTAGGGCACAGAGTAAACATTCCAATTCCAGAAGAGAACAGTTGGGGCATAACCTAGGAATGTACAACGAAAACCCAGCAGGGAAAACACCAAATTCTGCAGCTCCAAATGAAGTGCTTGGCCACCCTGCTCCTGCAGCTCTGCTCCCTGCAGCACATGGAGCCTTTCTCTAGAGCCACCTCTAATCCATGTCTGTAGCTGTCCTCAGTGGCTGTCTCACGGTCCTGGCATCTCCAGTGTCCTGAGTTCTTCATTGCACCATGCGCTCCACATTTGCAGCTTTATGCAGTGGTCTCTCCTGGCCTTCTTGAAAGGAATACAGACTTGCCTTATATAGCTTGGCCTCACAGGCCATCTGGAACCTCAGTCAGACCTACACGACTCCTTCACTCTTGTGTCTGTTATGGCTGTAAGGACAGTAACACCAGGACAGTATTTCCAAGTTTTGTTGTCAGCAACAAGATGTAGCTGGCCTCCCAGTGCCCACTTGTATGGATCTCTGTGTGCTATACAGGCTGAGCCTGGGAAACACTTCCCTAGGTGGTAGTTGTTCACAGGGAAACCTCTTTGATGGTATTCTCAATTCAGGGTCTCCCTTCAAATGAATTTGTATTTATATAAGATGGAGCTTTTGTTGGGTAGGATTTTTCCCTCTGGATACCTTTCCTGTTGTCTCAGATTTTTTTAAAGGTGTTAATCTTTGTATAATTCTAGCTGTTTTCTCGATACTGGCCTTATCTACAACTTTGAATTTCTTTTCCATGACAAATACATTTCTGATCCCTTTTGTTCTCTGACTGTAGAACTGGACCAGAACATGCCACAGCCTGAATGCTATCTGTCTTAGTTATGGTTTCTATTACTGTGAAGAGACACCATGACCATGGCAATTTTTATAAAGGAAAACATTTAATTGAGATGGTGGCTTACAGTTTCAGAGGTTTAGTCCATTATCATCATGTCAGGAAGTATGGTGATGTAGTACATGGTGCTGGAGAAATCTACATCTCGATCCAAAGACAACAGGAAGTGAACTGAGTCTCACACTGAGTAAAATTTGAGCAAAAGAGACTTCAAAGCCCGCCCCCACAGTGACACACTTCTCCTAACAAGGCTACACCTACTCCAACAAAGCTGCACTAACAACTAGTATTATTCCCTTTGGGGGCCATTTTCTTTCAAACCATCAAACTCTTCTGAGATTTCTTTTCCTAAAGAGATTAGCCCATTGCCTTTGAGTTCAGCCTCACTCAGAGTCTCAGCACAGGCAGAATGCAGCCAGATGATTTGCCAGAATACAGTGTGGATGACATCTAATTCAGTTCCCAGTAGAGTTCTTGTTTCCCTCTGAAACTACATCACCTGAACCTCCACTGCCCACAGTTCTATTGTAATCCTAATCTTCCAAACACCCACTAGAATACTCCACTAAGCTCTGCATACAGCTTCCTAAAACTTTTCTAATCTGAAGTTCCAAACTTCTGCATTGTTTACAGAAACCAGTTCCAAAGATCCAAAAAACAGGAGGTCAGTTTCATCAAGTAACAACCCCACTCCTGGTATCAGTTTTTTGTATTTGTTACTTTTAGTATTGCTGAGGCAAATATCCAACAAAAGCGGTTTATGAAACAGAGTTTAATTTGGCTTATATTTTGGGGGTATAGTTCTATACACTGGATCATGGGACAGTTGGTCACATTGCATCCACATTTCAGGAAGAAAGAGATGAATGTTGCTGCTTGGCTCCTTGCTTATTTTTCTTCCATCTGGGATTCCAGCCCATGTAATGATGTCACCCACATTTATGGCGTGGGTCATCCTGCCTCGTTCAACCAACCTAGAAACTCTCTCACAGACATGCCAAGAAGTTTACCTCCTAGGTCTATATCCTGTCAAGTTAACAATTATTATTACCATCAAAAGTTCCCTTCTTTATTAGAAAATATACAAAGGATTACAGGAAATATTAATATTACCTATTGAGAAATAATAGGAGATACAAAGACAAGTGCATGTGCATGCAAGTGAGATAAAAATAAAAGTGCCCTGGAAGGCTAGACAAACACATGCTAAGAGACCGATGTGCACACTAATTGTGAGCATTCATGCCATCGTTCATTATTAAGTTGGCCCAAGTAGACCCCTGCCTTTTCTAGCCTTGAAGTTATTTGATTTGGTGCAGTCTGTGAATTGGGAGGGCATTTGCATGTGTTCACCCTTTCCTCAGCTCTCCTGCCTCCCTCTCTCCTCCCGCCCACCCTCTGTGTATGTGGTAAATATGCAAGTGAAACTTGTATACCAGATCCTCACAAGTTATCCTTTTGCAGTTGGCACTGAGGGCAGCCCCCTCTTACGAAGATTTTGTGGCCGCACTAACCATAAAAGAAGGTGACCACCAGAAAGAAGCTTTCAGTACTGGGATGCAGAGGGACCTCAGCCTTTACCTCCCTGCTATGGAAAGGCAGCTGGCCATACTGGACACTTTATATGAGATCCACGGGCTGGAGTCTGATGAGGTGGTGTGACAGCTACTTCTTAGAACAGCACCTCCTACCTTCAGGGAATAAAGTTTGCTAATGTGTTGAGTTGCCCTAGTTAATTTCCAGCAACTTTGATGCTCTCCAACTCCTCTCCTTGAGGAGATGAACAGGAGGAAGTGAATCCTAGTGTTTTATAGAATTGTTTTGATGAGTATGTGTTTGGTGTGTTTAAAAATCAAGGTGCTAAATATTTCAGTTCAACAGGAAACCAAATCATAGCTATCACAGACTTGAATAGCATAAGAGCAAAACTGACAAATGAATTTGTTGGGATCACATTTTGTATTGTTGTTTCAGTTATTAGTTTCAATGGACCATCCAAATTTAAGAAGTATGCAGGACTATAATACAAAGCCAGTGTTTAATATAGCTTAGAAATTGATTGAGCATTGGTGGGAGTACAAGCCCCTTTGTTGAAGGACTTACCATGTAATAGTTTGTTATACGTAGACTGTCCTGAGTGGGTCCCTTCTCAGTGACTGCTGATGAGAAGGGCTGGGTAGTAAAGACACAGACCTTGTGTTGTGGGAAGACACTAACAAGGACTGCCAGTAGCATTCCTGCGTTTTATCTGAATTGGACATCATAACAACAGTGACAGTAAAGAGGATTTCTATCATATTTCAGTAGTAAAGTTTATAATAGGAAGGTCTGTTCACATTCATGAAGTATCTTGGTTTTATTTTTATTTATTTATTTTTTTGCCTAGCTTCCTGAACGCTCTTTCAGCAAAAGAGCCAGGTAGCTTTCAAATGTGATCTAGATAAGCCCTGTATTGAAGTCACATGATGTGTGTGCTGTTTCAAAGAACAGAGTCCTAGACCTTAAGTGAAGAACCCACATCTGGAGATGAAACAGGAATTTGCTGGCTGATAACCTTCCCAGGCAATACTCAAGTACACAAAGTTGAAGAGCTACACAGGTGAATTCTAGTTTTCAGAATTCCAACTCTTCTGCAAGAAACAAATGATATATCCCTTAGCCCCCAGAAGGAAGGGGGCCATCATTCAAGTAAAATGATTAAATGAAGAGTGAGTAGGCCAGCCGCTTGTGTAACATTGCTTGTGGCATTTCTATAAAAAGCAACAAGGTGCCCTTGTCTCCCAGTAATGGACCAAGCTGCCTAGAGTGTGCAAAGGGGAGAAGCCATGAGTGCCTTCCCCAGGAGAGCTACTTCCTCCTAGTAAAAAGGTCATTCCATCATAAGCAGTCCCCAAAGAAAGTGAGGCCTTGGCCAGGCACAGGTGAAGAGGGGGGCTGTGTGTGCTGCTTTTGCTGCTGCACATCCAGGAGCTCTCAGGGAAAGGCACTGGGTTTCCTCTGTCTGTAAGCAAGTGGGCATTTACTCAGATTAATGAAGCAGTAGAGTTGGCTGCATGCAATCCCAGCTGCTCAGGAGTATGAGGTGGACATATCACTTGAGCCCGGGGTATGGAGGTTAGCCTGAGCAACATAGCAAGATCTTGCCTCTTAAAAATATTTTTAAGAAAAAAATTTAAGTGATGCAAGCATTTTGCCTCCACAAGAAGTTCTGGAAGTAAGCAGGACCAGGAGGGAGGGACTGAAATTACTGACAGTGTTCTGCTTTACGCCCACAGACCCCTCATATGGTTCCTCTTCCCTGACAAGTAGAAATCTGAGGGAAGGGCTCAGACTTAGACCTCCTGACCATGACATAGTGACTTAAGACCAGAAAGAGAAGAGGTAGCTAATCTACTTGTCCCTGAGAGTTGGTGTGCCATCTATGGGCTGTGCTACCAGGAAAATGATGCCAGGCATGGCTGTGCTAAGCAGCCCCGGGTGCCTCTGCAGTTACCAGAGCCCGGGGAAGAGGGGCGCTCTGAGAACACCTTGATCTGCACTGAGTGTGTCAGTGCACACAAAAGAAATGGCAGTCAGCCGGGCGTTGGTGGCGCACGCCTTTAATCCCAGCACTCGGGAGGCAGAGGCAGGCGGATCACTGTGAGTTCGAGACCAGCCTGGTCTACCGAGCGAGTTCCAGGACAGCCTCCAAAGCCACAGAGAAACCCTGTCTCGAAAAACCAAAAAAAAAAAAAAAAAAAAAAAAAGAAATCGGCAGTCTGAGTGTGTAGGTCCATTCCACCTGGGTTGGGAGTTGGTTGTTTCTCCTTTTACTTACAGCCATTGTTGTTTTGTTTTCTGATTTCTGGTTACTTTCTAAGAAAGGGGTAATAACAAAAGATCCTGAAAGTGCTCCTGGGAGCCCTTCCAAGAGCTCTGGAGTCCCTCAACCACCCTCACCCTAGCAGGTGAAGAAATAATGTGTGTGTTAACAGAGTGCTAACCTTGTCTCCATTGCCAACAACAGTTCTGGATTATTTTCCTAGCATAGATGTAAGGGAGAAGCTGGAGATAGGGAAGTGTGTCTCCCTGGACACTAGCAGAATTGCATAAGTAGCATTGGCTGACCCCTTACACAGCACTGCCACACCACCACTGCCTCAGTCTGCTCTCCACCCCAGCCCATGGAGCTCAGCTCACACTGGCTGGCATCGGTGTGTGTGTTAAACTGAACAAAGGCTTTTCAATTGTGACATGCCTTTTGTCTTTCGAAAATAAATCTGATTATAACTAAAACCTACTTGAGAGATACGAATTTAGAGGTGTGACACCTTTGAGGGTGGAAACCAGCTTGTTAACAGAGGCAGAGGTGATTCTCATGGCAGCTCTTGACACAGCCTGGAAGGGATGCGGAAGGGTGCTCTGGGTGTGTAGTGGCTTGTTACTGTGTAGAAGTCATCGTGAGCATGACAGCATCGCTTTCGTGTCACTTTCTTGTCTGCTAGTGAGCCTCACTAGCAGTGAACTGCCCGCCCCCTCAGCTTGCTCCAATGACTCCTCTCTTAGCTCTTGCTTCCCCTTCTTCAGCAGCAGCCCACCTGGTTCCGGATGAGCTTAGGGCAGAAGCCATGCTCACATTTGCAGCTGCAAGGTGGGAGAAGGTGGCAGCGGGATTGCCGAGTGCCACTGGGAAGGGCACCCTCTGCCTTTGATCGGTTCACACAGTTAGTGTGTTCAGCTCTCTCCTGCTGAGTAGTGGTTTTAGGTGAAGTGTGTGGTGGGATTGGCAAATTCAGTGCACTTTGTTAAGTTTGGAAGCAAGAAGTGCTGAAGAAGTTTCCCGAAAGAAAACTAGTCCGATCGCAAAGGTCACATATATGGAGAGCTTTCGGATAAAGCAACAGAGAAGTGAGAGGATTTGGAGCAATACAAGATATAAGACATTTTGTATTGTCTTTCTGAAGAACGGGTTTTTGTGAATTTCCTACTAAACTATTATGCCCTAGGGGAACGGGGCCCTGTTGTGTTGTTTCTGAGTTATTGATTCAAACCACTGCTTCTGATTTAGTGACAGGTTTACAACAGTTCAGCTCTCCACCCTCATGCTTCATTTCACTACCAAACATTTTCAGAGTTGCAGGTTTCTAGGTGTAGAATTTCTACGTGTTGAGCCATCCTTCAGTTCTGCAATCTAATGTGTTTGGCCATAGACAGCCAGACCTGAGATGCTCTGTGACACTGCACAATATACATGCTTATGTGCAGCAGACCCCAGAAGTTCATATAAAGTGCTGTATTGAGACATGGGTTCTACTTTCATGTGACCCTTTGTAATCTGCAATTGCTTACTCAGGGCTTTCACAGTAACAGTGTGTCCAATAGCTGTCTGATGGTATTTCAAGACTTATCATAAGAGGCTTATAGATGTATAGTGTTAGTTTAGAGTTTTTTCACTGGCCCTCCCCTGTGAATGTTCCAGTCCAACCCCATTAGACCATCCTGCAGATCATTTGCATGGTTTCTTGATGCACAGCTGCCTTCAAGAAATCTAGGGCGTGATCACTCGGTGATGCCTCTGGTACAGGCATTGCGTGCATTGATCTCTCTTCTCCATTGTCTATATATAGCCTTTACTGGAAAGGAACAAATGCCACTACTCTGCAACGCAAGGTTTTCAGAATTCTTGTAAATTGTAAATCCCTGAGTCACTTTTCAGATTGAACAGTGTTTCTAACCAAGCTGTGTGGGGCATAATATCTGGTGTATTTAAAGTGTGGTCAGTATCTTCCTCACCTTACTTTATACATACCCTTGGGCAGGGTGGTCCCCTCACCCTGTCGTGGATGGTTCCATCAACCCTAGCATGGATGACCTTATTGCACACCTGATCTCATCCACCAGAACCCCGTATATGTGTCCACAGGTGGAGGTGGAGTCAGTGAAGAGAAGGGTGATCTAGATGGCAGAGGAGCCAGCTTCATGACATGGATGATGTATGATTCCCATGTGTCATGAGAATTCACTAGAACGTCATTCAGCAGCCCAACTACCTCATGTAAATTGGCTGTGGACAATCTGTGTTAGGTGAGAAATGTGTTCAGAGAAATTTATTCTGGTCAATAAACTGAACAGTGTGGTGTCTCTGTGAAGAACAAACAAGTTACCAGATGCCAAAGGCTAACGTATACCTAGGTTCTCTTGGGTTCTTTTCTACATTAACATTTAATTCCACAGTCTGTGCCCTCATGAGTGTCTGTAGTTTTGTAGAGCCACATGCTCTGAGTAACTGTCACGGAGTCCTGTGTCACCTCCTCTTGTCTCAGTATTTTGAATGAACATCATAATGCTGATGGGAAGCGAGTTAAACTACAAAAGCGTCAAACAACTGTGGCTTCTTAATTTAATGGACCTTTATTTAGAAATGTATCGGAGCCTTTTAGGACCAGTTGTTGAGTGGAAATTTTGTATGCAAATGTGTCTGCTTCTCTGTCCAAGTTGTTATTCTGTATTTCATGGGAAGTGGGGCAGGGGAGGGTTTTACTTCCTTTGGAGAATGTTTGAAAACATCTGTCAGATTTTTATATTCATTAGTTTAAAATAAACATATTTTTAGAGTATTTCATTATTGTTCTTCAAAGGTTTTGTATGAGTTTGTTTAATTTTATGTGCCAATAATATGTATTGTTTATGGAACACCCATACCATGCCAGTCATCATTCTAAATCCTTGATAAGTATCTACACATTTCTGTCTTACTAACTATAAGGTATGTACTATAGTTACCCTCAGGTTTCAGTTGGGAGAACTGAGACACAGACTGGGAAGCCTTCTGCCTAATTCTCACAGCTGATGAAGACTGGAGACAGGCTATGAACCCAGGACTCCAGGATCTTCACAAAGCACAGCATCAGCCGGTGTGGTGGCATCTGCACTGGTGATCTGGGCATTCTAGAAAGACCAGCCCTTTCCATTCATGGTTCTCTTGTTTTCAGAGGTGTAAGCAGCAGTGAGGTCACAGCCCAACACTGCTGCCAGAGCCTGGGAAGTTCTTCCCTTCAAGACCTCCACTCCAATGAAGCCAGATCCTTGTCTGCCTCAGAAAAGAATCTTAGAACTCGAGAAACAAAATGAGTATATCAAGCAGAGAGGAGACAGTGCACAGTTGAGATGTAAGGGATGAGTTGAGAGTTGATATTTTAGTCCTTCTTACATTCACATGAGTACAACAGATGAAATACCATGGCCCGTTCTGAGGGTGACACCACACATCTGTGTATATAACCAGGATCCACCACTGTCATCACTCCAGAGGTGCAGAAGGGAGGCTTTGGAGAGGCAATGTTGATGTTGGCCCTGATGAGTGAGGACACGGGTTGCTTTGCAGGTAGGTTGCTGCGTGAGGCTGTCTCCTTAGGGAACAGAGCCGCCAAGTTTGCTGCCATGTGTAGCCAATTGTGGCCATTGTTTGACTGTAGAGTCAGAATTGTTGAAATGGTTTTAAATTTTTAAATGTCCAAAGTCCTTCATAGATCTATCAGATAGTGGACCCTCAACCTTCTCCATCCTCTGACCATTAGGCTTCATTGCCACCCCCAGATGTGCCCCAAGTTTCCTCAGTCACTGGGGAGAGTGAGATGATGATCCCTCAAACCGGCTTTTGATTTAGGCCTATTCTTGCCTGTCCTCCCTCATGCTTGCATGGTTGCAAAGACCAGACACCCTGCAGGCCATCTTTAAGTTATAATTGAGGTACAGCCCCTTCACCTGACAGTGGTCCGGCAGCTCCATCCCAGACCCACTTATGTCCTCATCATCTTTCTTTCACTAGTGCTTCCTTCCCCTGAGGCCCCATAGCAAGCCCAGCTGCCCTTGAAGTGTTTCCAGCCAAGTCAGCGGTGTCACCATTACTCTGGTTTCCTAAGCAAAACATACCCTCAGCTCCTTTCTCCCCCAGTCTCCATGCCCACTTTGTCTTACAGGCCTCCCTCAACAGCCACACTCCCTAAGCCACTACACAGTCTCATGGCCCTCTTCCCTTTTGCCCTGATTGATGTCTTCCAAACCTGAAAATGCTCCCTTAGCTCCATGCCATGCATGACTCCAGCCCCTTCATAAACTTGGAAAGCCCCACTCCAGGAAAATACTTGCAAAACTTCTAGACACAAAATCCTGGCCATCTGTTCCCTTCCAGCACTCTTGCATGTCTAAATGATACCACATCAAGTAGGACTTGGGACAGGAGGCATGACTTCCAAGGTGACTGGGTCAATTCTTCAGTGTTGTGTCTAGATACTGGTGTAGCTGCTGCTGATTCTGAGGTTGGGATACCCTGCCTCTGATGGTGCTTTCTCTGTCTCTGCAAGGATTTTTGAAGCAGTTTTACAAGCTAGCTGTCACCTCAAATGGTGTTTCCTGATTCTTTCAGATGAATTATTTCTGTTACCCAGCTATATGAAAATAGATGTGAAGCAGTGCCCCACACAGCGCAGCTCCCCTCTGCTGCCCTGATTGTTTAAGCAACACTTAGAATGCCTGCTGTGGGGTGGGAGGGAAGGAGGAAAGAAGGGGAGAACTGATTTTGTGTTTCTGTGTGGTTGTGCGTGTGTGCGTGCATGTGTGTGTGTGTGTGTGATATTACTTAGCCTTTGCTAATATTCCTAAAATGTTTGTGTCAATGTTATTTTTGTTTGTCAAATTATCAATCAGTAGGATTACACCCAGTTCATGGTTCTCAGCTCTATACATATAGCCCTGGTTAAGGAGTCTAAAAACACTGATGTCTGGGCCCCTCCCTGTGCATCACTCTCAGGAATGTAGCCTGTTCCTGCTATCGCTAAATTCTCAGTAATTCTGACATCCAGCCCTGACTGCAATCCTTGGAAATACTGGTGCAGTTCTTTACAACTCTCTGTGGGGCCTTTCAGGATGAATGCAAATGTTAGAACTTCCTTCGTAGAATTCAACAAAATGGCAATCAAAATAAATAAAAATTTTAAAAGATTAAAAAAATCCTTTAAAAGTTTCCAGCAATCAAGCAGTAGAAGGAGCAGAGACTTGCCTTTGTGCCTTAAACTCCAGAGTGTAAGCCAAAGAAAAAGACTGGTTTCCTGTTGGGAAAGAACAGCTCCTAGCCCCATTGCCACTGAGGGCAAATTCAGACGCTCATTAAAGTCTCGGAGTTAGAAAGGAGCTGATTAATGACGTGAACCGCATCCTGGGAAAGCCTCACTCATGTTGATTCTACAGACCACTTAGGACTTCTGTGACTTTGGAGAGTTGGGGATGTTGCAGATGAAGATCCAGATTATCTTAAGCTGTTCTCAGTCCCCTCACTGCTATGCACTTGTGTATCTGACTGGACATGCTTCCATCAGGGAAACCTTTGGGATACATCCAGTCATAAGCATATGACTCTAGTTCCCATCAATCACCTCAAAGCTAAGAATGTCATCCAGCAGCACCAGAAACACATAACAGGGATTCCCCTACTTAATTGTAACCCACCTACCTGATCATTTAACTAACATTTTTTGTTTTGTATCTACAATTTTACTCCTGAGATTCAGTTACCGCATTTCACTTTACTTTTATCTGAGCACTCATTTCACATTTTTATATCTGTGGTGTCCATTTGCTGCGTGCATCATTTCTGTCATGTGTCATGTCTGTCTGTCCATCCCCCTCCCCCCATGCTCAGGCCCACATTGCAGCACCATCTGGATTAGCCCCTATTTCTTTAGGAAGGGTTAGGAGGTGTGACCTTGTTGGAGGACCTATATCACTGGAGGTGGGCAATGAGGTTTCAAAAGCCCATGCTAGGTTCAGTCTCTCTCTGCCTGCCAGGTGAGGGTCAGGATGTAAAGCTCTCAGCTAGAGTTCCAGCACCTGCCTGCCTGCTTCCTGCCTTGACGATCATGAACAAATCCTCTCAAACTGTAAGCAAGCCCCCAATTAAATGTTTTCTTTTGTAAGGGTTGCCTTGGTCATGGTGCCGCTTCACAGCAATAGGACAGTAACTAAGACTTGTAGGTATTTCACTACAGTGCCAGAGATCTAATTAGCACACCTGTATACATGCTTATCCTCCATCATTCCTGTACAAGACACTGCTGGGAAGGGCTTATATTTGCCTGGTGCCACAGTATATGATTGTGCTAGTCATTATGGCATCAAAATATTTTCAGGTAAATAAACTGAAAATCTCATACTGTCTGTCTTTCCTAACCTCTCTCACCAGAAGCTCCCTGCAAACACTACCCCCCAAGCCAGCACCTACAGCAGTAACATGAGACCCTAGCAGGGAACCTCTGACCTTGCAAGAGCTATGGTCAGCATCTGTACTGCTTGGTCAATATCTGTGTCATACTGGTTGTTGAATATTTTCAGTGTTAACCTTTGCAGGAAGACACACAGAGTATAAGCTCGCAAGGAAAGAGAAATGACTGCCCAGCAAGATTGGAAATACAACAAGGCAAATAACACTAACATTGTATGAAATTAGCAAGCAGTCTGAATAAAGTAGCATGCCACAGGTGTGAGCAATTTTAAACAAAATGATCTGGCGACTATCTAAGTGAGCTTGTGGTCAGAAGAGGGGCCTGTGTGGGGAACAGGTGGGTCCAGTTCAGAAGAAAAGCTCATGCAAGCGGCAGAAGTTCCTGCGGGTGTCCTCTGCTCCCAAGGGACTTAGACCATGAATGCCTAAAGCACACATGCAGGCATGACCAGATGGAGAGAAACACTGGCTGCAGAAGTAAACGGTGTGGCCAGAGAATATCACAGGAAAAAATGAATGAGCTAGAAAGACCTGGATGTGGTGACACACACCTGTGATCCCAGTACCTCGGAGGTAGAGACAGAGCATCCCGAATCTGAAGCCAGGCTGAGCCTGTTTTATAACAACATGACACAAGCTGCAGTCTTGAGAAAGGAGGGAGTCTCAGCTTTAAAAAAATGCCTCCATAAGATTGGATTGTAGGCAAGTCAGTAGGACATTTTCTTAATTGTTGGTTGATGGTGGAAGACACAGCCCATTGTGGATGGTACCATCCCTGGGCTGCTGGTCCTGAACTCAATAACAAAACAGGCTAAGCAAGCCACGAGAAACAAGCCAGAGGCAAGTGGACCTCTGTGAGTTCGAGGCCAGCCTGGTCTATATACTGAACTCCAGGGCAGCCAGGACTATATAGAGAGACCCTGTCTCTAAAACCCAAAAAGGAAAAAAGGAGAAAAAGTATAATGAAATATATGCATGATAATGCCACAATGAAACTCATTCTTTGTATGCGACCCAAAAGCTAATATAAATGAATGAATGGTTTTTGTTCTAGGAAATCCACCAGAAAATGCTGGACACTCAAATATCCTGAGGAAGTTGCTTTACCACCTTTCCATAAAAGCAAGTCATCAGGGGCCTGGATTCAGTGAAACAAAAAGTTTTAGCAACAGAAAGAAATAGAGGGTAATTTCCAAAGTTCTGAGTAGAAAAAAAAAGAAAGAAAAACTGCCTTGTATGATTGCAGGCGAGTGAAAAGCAGATTGTCTAGTTTGGATAAGCATGAAGGGGGCTTAGAGTACTCCACTTGGAGTATAGCGCTGACAGTATATTCTATCCATGGAGTCCACCACTTGGAGTATAGCACTGACAGTATATTTTATCAATGGCGTCCACCACTTGGAGTATAGCACTGACAGTATTTTCTATCCATGAGTATACCATTTGATAGAGTCAGCAGTTCAGCAGCACAAGAACTTATGTGGAAGAAATAATAGATTAAAACTGGTTTACTTTCTAGACAAAGGTGCCTCGAGTCAGGTTAGGCCTGACCCAGATGAAGAGAGAACACGGGACAGTGTTTAGAGCAGAAAATTACTCTTTTTATTGTTTCTAACCTTGTATTGTGAGACAAGGTCTCTGTGTGTGTTCCAAGCTGGCTCTAAAGGAAATAACCCAGACCAAAACCATACCCTAAAATAGGACCCAGATTTCAAGAAATCTGCTACCCATGAACTTCCAGAAAGTGCCCCCCCATCCTCATCCTGAAGCCAGGAGCTTGCAAAAACAAGCAAGCTCATTTATCTCTCAGCCTCTAGCCTTTAGATCACATGAACAGGGCATCTGACCCACCCTGAAGGCCCATTTTTGGGCCTCAGGAAGTCAGACACCCCCCTCCCTACTCTACACTACAATGGCTAAGTTCCAAACCCTGTACCATGACTCCCCTGTCCCTCAGATACTGAGCTGCAGGTTTTGGGGATACCAACCACTCAGGCTCTTCTAGTGGTTTTGAGATGGAACTGAGTCTCTTCCATTCTTCTCGGCTGATTCATTTCTAACAGACTCACATTCCACATCCTCCTAACTCAGTTTCCCATTGCTGGGATTTCTGCTGTGCACTCCCTTCCTCCAACCATTTAAAAAGCAAAAGAAAAACTCATTGACTTACTGTTCAGGTAGAGATGAAACAGGCTTTGTGAGTGCAAAGGAGCCCTTCTAAAGTCCTGGTGATCTGAATTTGGGGATCCGGGGTGCCAAATGATCTACAGTCACCAAAACTACCCTAAGTCAAGGTTTCTGGGTTTGTTGTCTCATGCCCAAGAATGACTAGTCAAATCAGACAAGGAGTGAGCAGAGAAATGGAGGTTTATAAGGGAGAATGAGAGACACTCCATGGGGCTTAAGAGACTGAAGACAGGGACAGGTGTAAAGAGAAGCTTTTTCTTTGAGAGAAGCCTTCCCGCCAGCCTGGTTCTGGAGCCACATCAGTCCCAAATAAACACACAGGAGGCTATATTAATTATGAAGCTGCCGGGCAGTGGTGGCGCACGCCTTTAATCCCAGCACTCGGGAGGCAGAGGCAGGCGGATCTCTGTGAGTTTGAGGCCGGGCTGGACCGATAGCCTCCGAAACAATACAGAGAAACCCTGTCTCGTAAAAACCAAAAAAAAAAAAATTATGAAGCTGTTGGCCTTCCTTGTTTCTTACTGGCTAGCTCAGACTTAAGTAATTACCCCATAATTGTTCATCTAAGTATTTCTCTTACTGGAGAATAGTTCCGGACTTCCTACCCCATGGCGTTACATCTTGACTCTATTGTGTTTCTCCTTCCCAGAGTTCTCCTGGACTCCTAGTCCCACCTATCTAGATTCCTATTGGCCCAACAGTGCTTTATTGACATGATCACAGGACTTCCCACATCATCTCCTCTTTTCTGGATATAGATGCCAATCTTTATTGAGATTGATTACTTTCAGGTGCAGTGCAGGAGGGCAGCAGGTGGTCTCCACACCCTTTGTATGCTCCTTAGTTCCAACCAGAGACCTGCATTGCAGTTGGGGGAGTGGTCTCAAGTAGTCCTGGTCACCTTCATCCACTCATCCAACTCATTTTACTTTCTCTGTAGTCTGTTGATAAAGTCACTTTCCGTTCTTGGCCTTGAACTACTTGACTAGTTTATAATCTATCAGGGCCCTCATCCCTACAGAGAGATAACTCCTGTCTCTTTGAAGTTTAGTAATCACTTCAGTTCCGTTTCTCTTCTTTAAATGTTTACATGCAAGTTAGCTGTATCCTTTCTCTATAAAGATAAATGTAATTCAAAGTCAACATGAGAAATTTGAAGTATGACTATGTTTATGATAATATTCTCCATCTCTCCATGTCTTGGTAGAGACAGCTTAAAATTTATATTCCTGTGAAGTGGAGATGGTAGCTTTGATTTTGTTTTATGATTTTCTTTTTACATTGTGTGTCACTTGCTTTTGTTTGAAAATCATGATGTTCTGTGGAATTTTAACTAGACAAGGATGTGTTACATTTGTTTACCCTGCAAAATGTTACTTTAACTATGTTTATGCTGTATTTGTTTAACAATGTAAAGGATGTGTGTTTAACTATTTAAAGATGTGTTGCATTGGTTTCACCTTACCTGCCTAAGGTACCTAATCAGTCTAATAAAAAGCTGAACGGCCAGCCGGGCGGTGGTGGCACACACCTTTAATCCCAGCACTCGGGAGGCAGAGGCAGGCAGATCTCTGTGAGTTCAAGGCCAGGCTGGTCCAACAGCCTCCAAAACAATACAGAGAAACCCTGTCTCATAAAACCACAAAAAAAAAAAAGAAAAGAAAAGGAAAAAAAAGCTGAATGGCCAATAGTTAGCCAGAGAAAAGATAGGCAGGGCTGGCAGGCAGAGACAATAAATAGAAGGAGAGCTCTAGGCTCAAAAAAAGAAGGGAAGAACCAGAGAAGAAGGAGGAGAGAATGAGGAACACACCCAGGGCCAGAAGCCAGACAGACAGAGAGAAGCAGTGAAAGTAAGAGATACAGAAGAAAGGTAAGAAGCCACCAGTCGAAAGGTAGATAAAGAGAAACAGGTTAAATTAAAAGTGCTAGCCAGAAATGTGCCTGAGCTAGGCTGAGCATTCAAAACTAGTAAGTCTCTGTGTCATGATTTGGGAGTTGGTTGGTGGCCCAAAAGAAAAGGCCTAGAACAGTAATGTTTGCTTCCACCTGGAGAAGGGGTTCAGCTCAAGGCAAGCCCAAGGCTCCTAGGTCCATCACCAGCATGGAAGAAAAGAGGAGGGAGCTCTTGCTCTAAAATAAGGGAGGTATGGGGTCAGCTGGTCCTCATGGCGACACTGGCTTTAGAACATCACTCACATCGTAAATGTCCTCCATAGCCTGTGTTGGAGGCTTGGTCACAGGCCTCATGTGCTACAGGGGAAATGGGCCTTGGATGGAGGAAGTTAGGTCACTGGGGACTTGTTCCTCCCCTGCTCTCTTCCCAGTCACCAAGAAGTGAGCAACACTGCTCCCTGCCACTGTGTTCCACAGACAGAATAACCAAAGATTGGAACCTCTTAAGACCATGAACCTAAAACCAAGTCGTCTCTTTTTATCTCAGGTACTGTGTGTCTCTGTGACAGAAAGCTGACACTAAAAATTATCAAGTCACTGTCAGTCCCTTCATTTCCTTACCAAGTTGCTATTCCTTTACCCACAGGGAGATATTAGTCATCCAAACAGTCCGTTTTATATAACTCGGGAGTGTTGTAACATTCTTTTGGGTCTCAGGGGGGGAAAACTGAACTCACAGTGACAGTTTCCCAGTCCAGCGGAACAAAGGGGAAGCCTGGAGACGCCATCTGGAGGCCGCCCTTGTGCAGGGCGCCATCAGGACTCAGCAGCGCACGGCTTCCACCCGAACTCTATCGTCTGTCATCGGGTGGAAAGCTCACTCTTTATGTGCTGCTGTGACTTGGGAAACGTAATATCAACTCTTCCCCTGCCTGAGTGAAGTCACCCAGCAGAGATGCTGTAGCTCAGTGGTGCCGGGGCTGATGAAACTGGCCAGCCAGTGATGGCGAATGAGAGGGGGGGATGAGCATCAGGCTTTAGTCAGGGTACGTTTTATGTAAGGACTTCTCAACATTCTGCTCGTGGAACATGCGACAGCAACTTAGGACCCTCTGTGCTTATGTCACACTGCCATAGAATCTCGAATCCTGGGGTGGCCGACGGCACATGCCTTTCATCCCAGCACTTGGGAAGCAGAGGCAAATTGGATCTCTCTGTAAGATTGAGGCCAGCCTGGTCTACAAAGATCATTCCAGGACACTGTTACACGGAGAAATCCTGTCTTGAAAAACTGGAAGGGAGGGAGGGAGGGAGGGAGGGAGGGAGGGAGGGAGGGAGGGAGGGAGGGAGGGAGGGAGGGAGGGAGGGAGGGGAGAGGGAGAGAGGGCGGGCGGGCAGCCAGGCAGCCAGGCAAATCCTCCTCTTGGTCAAATGGCAGGGTGGGCACAGGACCGTGGAACCAGCCACTTCCTTCATCCCCACTGTCATCATGTGAGTGGCTGTGAGGTGCTCCAACGTTTAAATCAAGGACTGTGGATAACCTACGCGGTAAGTGTAAGGACTCAGGCATTATGCTGGCCTGCCCCTGTCACTTGACAGAATGCGCGCAGGCAGTACCCTGGTCAGCCCGGGTGCAAAGGACCCCTTTAAAAGAAAGACCTCCGCCCACTTATACTCTCTTCCCACCCTTTCGCCAAGGTTCCCCTCCAACTTTATTTTGGCGGTAAGAGTCCTACACAGATAAGAACTCCAAAATGAGTGATGGGTGTGGCAGTATGTATTGTCATCTCAGCTGTTGGGAAGATGAGGCAGGAGGATTGATTGAACCAAGAAGTTTAAGATGCCTGAACAAAATGTAAAGGTTCTGTGAAAAAGGCAAAAAGTAACAGCAACGAAACATCCTCCAACTAATATTTCTCTGGAGACGCAGAGTGTCCGTGTCCTCTAGAGTTGCCAAGCTGGGACAGTGGGAACAGCCTGTACCTTCCAGCCCCTGGTTGCATGGGACACTACAGCAGAAGAGAACGTGGCCAGCAGACAGCAGCACACACCACGGAACAAGAGCGAGAGAGAATCCGGTGCAGGGGCAAACTGCCTGGGACCAGATCCCCCCCCCTCCTCCTGTGTCAGTAAATCCTCACCATTTGAAAGCCATCGGAGTCTGTTTTCTCTTTGCTTATTACCAAAATAAGCCTGAGTTTTACAGGAAGTCCAAAAGCATTTGCTTTTGGCCAGTTTGGCGCAGTCTCTTGGTGTTTTCTACCTCCAAATGACACATATATCTGTGGTCCTTTATGGTGGAGTTGACAGAAGACAGTACATCTAAACTGGGGTCAGCAAAGGATCCAGTTTAATGCCAACTGTTCTGTTTTGCTCCAGCATGACACCCGAGCTGAAACTTGGGGTTCTCCTTCCTACATTACAACTATGGTTGTGACTTCTGCACTGGCCACCACCGTGAGAAGCTTTAGAGAGATGTCTCATTCAACTCAGAGTAACTGTGAAGGGTGTGGTTAGCCAAGGCCTCTGTGGTGAGAAGACTTAGAAAAGTTGTTTGCTTTGCTCAAGGTGAGCAACAGAGCTTGCGAGAGGATCGTGGCGGGAGAGGAAGATGGCACCAGTAGGCACTCCTCACCACTGTCACCATGCTTCTGTCTCGGCGTCATCTGATGTAATCGAGAACAGAGACTTTGAGATCAGACAGATCCAACCCTACCCTCGTAATTCAGAGTGCAGGTCATGCTGGGCGAGCCACTTAACCCTGATCCTTTGTCTCCTCATCTGGAAGTGTGATGGGTCATGAGTGTTGCTTGGGAGATGACCTACTGCCATGGTGGCACTGTGCCTGGCCCAGGCAAGGACTAGATAGTGTACATTGTGATGGTGGAGCAGGGAGTAGAGGTGCTTCCATGCAATGCCCAGATCACTGGACATTCTACCTTCTGCGCTGGGCAGACATCCACTTGGTACTTTTACTGTGGTCCACTAGCAAGTCTCCTGAAGTCAGATGACAACTGCATGGAAGAGGGAACCAAGAGCTCCCAAGGTTGTTCAGCTCATAAGTAACAACACTTTGTTCTAAGTGTCTGCCAAGGCTCTTAGAACCAACCTGTCTCCCGTGGCTTGGCCAAGCTTACTGTGCATAGCTGAGACAAATTAGTGGTTTCTAATGATGGGGCCACAAGTCTAACCTCCTGCAGCCAAGACTAATGGGCATAGCCAACCTCCAAGATGCTGAGGTTGGTGAGGGTACCACCTCAGAGACCCCAAATACTCCTTCAAGGAGGAAAGGGAGGAAAGGACTACTGTGTGGCTCAGCAAAAACCTACAGGCTCTAGGGCTTGCACAGACCCTCGCATGCTGAGATTGTTAGTCCCACTACTCATGACAGCCAAAAGTAGAATACAGGAAGCCCTGGGAATGAAGTACTGAGTGAATGTGTGTGGTCTACATAGGCACAGCCATGTCAAGGACCCCATAGACTCAGACCCATGGGAAGATGGCAAAGCCTTTCCCCAGGCATGAAGTTTAGAAGGATAGTGAAGCCTTCCTCAGGGGTCTGAGTGCAATTGTTGGCAGTGTATGCAGAAAATGTCCACCATAGCTTTCTCCCCGGCCCCAATATTTGCCCCCCAAAGACTGCTCCTCTGCAGAGACTGCTCCTCTGCAGAGACTGCTCCTCTGCAGAGACTGCTCCTCTGCAGAGACTGCTCCTCTGCAGAGACTGCTCCTCTGCAGAGACTGCTCCTCTGCAGAGACTGCTCCTACTGAGGTTAGTTCAACGTGCATCCTTGTCCCTGCTGCTTGCCATTCCTCTGTATACCCTAAAACCTGCCTCCTTGTTCAGTTTAGGCAATAACCCTGCCTCTCTGTTCAACTCTATATAATAAACACACTGAGCTTCCCGGGGCCTGCAGCCTCTCCATCAGAGCGCCCAGACCACCCGATTCCAGCGCTTTTGTGTGTCTGTGTGTTCTTCATTCTTTCACCGCCGCAGTCAGGCCTGCCCCTGCAGCTATGTTGAACATAGCAGTGGGAATGACCCAAGTGTCTATCAACAAATGAAGGTATAAACAAAATATGGTTTAAACCATGGAATATTATTTGGCCATAAACAATAATTTTGTATCAAATATGAAGGAACCTTGAAAATCTCTCAAATACAAAGGAGATTTCTATGAAAGGAGTCGACTTACATGAGCTGTCTTGAGTAGGCAGGTTCCAAAGGGCAGGAAGTAAGCTATTGTTTAGCAGGGCGGGGCGGGGGAAGGAACAGAGAGTTACTTAACATTATAGAGCTTCTCTTTGGAGTGATGAAGATGTTCTAGAACTAGCACTGCTCCTGTGGTATCATCAAATCAATGTGTTAATTCCCCTGAGCTGCTCGACTAAAATGTCCAATGACGTCAATGTGTGCACGCTTTACCATAATTTATAAAGTCAATAATGTAATGTATATATACATGTGTATGTACACCAAGGCCTCCAGTGGAGGCTCAAGACTGCATATATCACCAAACCCGCTATATGAAACATTTTTCTCATTTACGTATACACAATCTGCTAAAGGTTATTTAAAAATTAGCTGAGGATGGGGGTGGGTTTGCCAGAGAAATCGATTAAAATACTTAAAAATGGCTCCATGAGTGCAATCCTATACTGTAAGTCTCATGTAGCCCTGAGCCCCTGAGCTGCTCTCTGCAATGGAGGACCTCACCTTGTCTCCCTGTACACACACACACACACACACACACACACACACACACACACACACCATGGTGTAGACTCCAACACAGCCAGTTCCTTATCTCGACCCGTGAAACACTGTAACACTGTAGGATTCATCGTGAGCCAGAAACCTGGCTGGTGATAATAATGGAATGGCCCCTGCATAGCCTGGTACAGAACTGCCCCCCCACTGAGTTTCGTGTGACTCCCCTACTTTGTAGTTTGCCTGTGTCACATCTAATTGTGTAATCACTCTCTCAACAGAGTACACCAAAGGCTTGCGGCGGTTGCTGTTTACTCTAAGTTTAGAACACTTTCAGATTCATAAAAGAGTTGCCAAGGTGGCACAGAGTGCGTGCGTATGTAGCAAGCTCCTTGCATTCCCCATGCCCGTGTTTAAAAAATTATATGCTGTACATTTGCTCTTTTAAAACGGGTGATTCCGTGGTTTCTATCACACACAGAGTCATGCAGTCCTTACTGTACCGTGATTTCTGACTGTCTTCCTTAACCTTAAAGAAATCCGCACACCCACTAAGTACCTGTTGTGGCCAGTGTGACTTGGGGAATGTCTTCATACGCATAGCATTTGAGCACATGCTCTTCAGCTGTGACAGTTGGGGGGGCTCATATGCCCTTGCCTTCCCCACCGTTATGGGCCATTTCCTTTAAACTGGGGAGCAAAATAGACCTTTGCTTCTTAAGTGGCTTCTGGTCAGATGTTTTGTCACAACAGCAATAACAGTAGTTGATACACAGCCCTCACCCGATCTTGCCTTTCTAGCTGCAGATACTTGCTGATTTTCTACCTCTGTAGCGTGGACTCTCTGAGGCATCTTACATGAACGCAGATGTACAATATGTGGTATTTTATGACTATTTTTTTCAGCTAGCAAGTTTTTGAGGTTCATATTGTAATTTAAATCTGTATTATTGAACTTTTATTGCTATATGTTACTCCCTTATGTGGATACCATTTTTGTTTACCCACTCCCAGTTAGTGGGTCTTTGGACTGGTTTTTGGTTATTAATAATGCTGTTGTGGACATTTGTGTGCCAGTTTTGTGTGGATGTGTATTTTTTTTCTTGATTTTATGAGACAGGGTTTCTCTGTTTTGTTTTGGAGGCTGTCGGTCCAGCCGGGCCTCGAACTCACAGAGATCCGCCTGCCTCTGCCTTCCGAGTGCTGGGATTAAAGGCGTGCGCCATCACTGCCCGGCTGTGGATGTGTATTTTTATTTCCGTTGTGTATTCTAAACACAGAATTGCTAGGTCATATATGTTAAGTTCGTATTTAGCATTTCAGGAATTTCCCAACTTCTGATGTGGTCACACCATTTCACAGTCCATTGACAATACATACTGGTTCTGGCTTCCCCATGCCTTTGTCAACACTTGCCATTACATGTGCTTTGTTCCTATTTCTAGCCATTGTAGTGAGTATAAAGTGGCTTCCCATTGTGATTTTTGACTTGTATTTCTCTAGTGACTTGTATTCCTCTTTTTTCTTGTTAGCTCTTTGTACATCTTCCTTAGAGAAAGTTCTGTCCACATCTTTTGCCTTATTTCTGAGTTATTCTCTTGTTTTTGAGTTGCAAGAACTCACAAATATATCTTGGATGTAAGTCCCCTTTCAGGTCTGTAGTTTTCAACATATTCTTAGTCAATAGCTTTGTCTTTTTTCTTTTTAATGTTGTTATTTGAAACACATTTTAATTTGATGACATTTCTGTGTTTTTGTTTGTGTGTTTGTATTGTGTTTAAGAAGTCATTGTCTTATTAAAGATCATGAAGATTTTCCCCATGTTGTCTTCTATAGGTTTTTTCAAATGTATGTATATATGTATGTATGTATGTATGTGTGTGTGTGTGTGTATGTATGTACCTATCTATTTATATATTTGTTTTACATTGTGGCTGCAATTTCCCCTCCCTTCTCTCCTCCCAGTCCTTCCTCTGTTCCTACCTCCCAGTCCACACCTCCTCCTTTTCTGTTTAGGAAAGGGCAGGTCTCCCATGAGTGTCAACAAAGCATGGCATATCAAGTTGCAGTAAGACTATTTACCTCCCCATGTATTAAGGCTGGGCAAGGTGACCCAGTATGAGGAGCAGGGCCCAAAAGTCATTAAAACTCAGAGACAGCCCCTGTTCCCACTGTTAAGAATACCACAAGAGGACCAAGCTACACAACTGTCATACATATGTAGAGGGTCTAGGGCAATCCCATGCAGGCTTCCGGATTGTGGGTGTAGTCTCTGTGAGCCCCTGTGAGCCCAGGTTAGTTGATTCTGTGAATTGTCTTGTGGTGTCCTTGACCCATCTAGCTCCTACAATCTTTTCTCTCCCTCTTCTACAGGATTCTGCCTAGTGTTTGGCTGTGAGTCTGCATCTGTTTCCATCAAGTGAGTCTGTGTTTGTTTCT